CCCCCGGTCTGACTTGCTCCATCCAGCGTCAGTGCACATCCCAATCCCCTTGGATCTCGAAACGACGGACACCGCCTAAGCTGGCTCACTCTAACCGAGCCAGAAAAAAAGGAACAAAATAGTATCAATTATCAATTGGGTACATGGAACTTTGTGAGACATACGCGATCCCGGTTCTCTTCCTTTTTTTTACCAATCCGGCCGTGCGCAGCTTGGCTTCGCTCTGCGTCACGTTGCCCAGCAGCCCTTCCCAGCCACCCCGTGCCTCTCCCTCGATTTCTGGGGTTTATTCGCATCAAGGCTCAGTCCCGTGCAACCGATGACAGCAGCAAACAATCCTTGCCTTCTTCTCTCCTTTGTGTTCCCCTGTCTTACCTGGGGGTTGGTTCTCCTATTATTGGCCCCTGCTGTGACTGTTTACTTGCAAGCAGGATAACACAGTGTTGATACTACGTAGACAGACAGTATATGCAGACAGTCAACAGTATATGCTCGTCACCTTGAGCCGGGGTAAAGCCTTTGGGTATTCATTGAGTTGACTGATTGATTGATCGATTGATATGCAAACTACCCAAGTTCCAAATCCAAAGACGCCGGAGCCTCGCTAGCCCGTAATAGGAAAAAAAAACCAATTGATCCAGATCAAGACAGCAGGTAACATGTCTTCGTTACTTCCTTCTGCTTTCATCGACCGTTTCCCCAGATTGCTCTTTTTCTCCCCGTCTCATCTAGGTTCTACCATCGCACAGAGGACAATCTGACTTTTTATCTCTTCCTTTTTTTTTGTGCTTTTTTTGTTTCTTTTTCAATGTCTGAGTAGTCAGTTTAGTGGCCACCAGACTTCTCCACAGTAGGAAGCTCCTTGATCGCTTCGGCAATGATGTTCAAGCCATGTCGCAGTTCCTCCTCGGTGATAACCAGTGGGGGTGCGAAGCGGATGATATCGCCGTGCGTTGGCTTGGCCTGCATTGTAACCATAGATTAGTACGACTCAGACACACAGAACGGGTCGAGGAGTGCGATCATCAAACAAGGCAAACCACTCGAGCCCCCTAGCCGCCGGGGGAGGAGGCCGAGTAGGCAGCAGCAACTCAGAAAAGGGGATGGGGGATGCAGGCAACAAGGGTGGGGAATGGAACAGATGGAATAACAGGTTTGGTTGCTCTTCGCGGGGAAAGGGCTTTTGTGACTTACCAATAGACCCTTGCTCTTGAGCAGCAGGCAGAGATCCCATGCAGTGCGGCCGGAGGCAGCTGATTCGTCAATGACGACCGCATTGAGGAGACCCTTTCCGCGGATAGTCTTGATGATGGGCGTGTTGAGGGCGGCGATGCCGTCGCGGAAAATGTTACCAAGCTTCTCGGCCTTGGCTGTGAGGTCCTCCTCCTCCATGATCTCCAGTGCGCGGATGGACACGGCTGCGCCAAGAGGGTTGCCGCCGAAGGTGGAACCGTGGGTGCCGGGCTCGATAACCAGCATCACGTCCTTGCTGCCCAGGACACAGCTGACGGGGTACATGCCGCCGGAGATGGCCTTGCCGAGGGTGACGAGGTCGGGCTTGATACCCGCCCACTGGGAGCACAGCATACGTCCTGTGCGGCCGATACCAGTCTGGATTTCGTCGCAGATGAAGAGGACGTTGTGCTTCTTGCAGAGGGCCTGGACGCTGGCCAGGTAGCCATCGTCGGGGACGACAACACCAGCCTCGCCCTGGATTGGCTCGACGATAAAGGCGGCGGTGTCCTTGCCGTGTCGCTCGAGCACCTCCTCCAGATCGGCAATGTTGTTGTAGCGGATGGGCTTTCCAGTAGTGGGATCAAAAGAGCCAATGTTGGGAACATAAGGACCGTAGTTCTCCTTGGACTCTGGATCATTAGACAGAGAGATGGCAGTCATCTAATGAAGAGTATCAATGTTAGCTGGAGTCTTCCCGTATACAGACTACCTGTCTTGTTCTCGCTCAATTGCGTCCCTACAGACGACATCAACGCGAGCAGGGGGGGGAAACACATACCGTACGACCGTGGAAGTTGTCCTGGGCTGAGAAGATCAAGGCCTTATTCTGCTCGACGCCCTTGACCTTGTATGCCCACTTGCGAGCAATCTTGATGGCCGTCTCGACAGCCTCAGCACCAGTGCACATGGGCAGGACCATGTCGTAGCCAAACAGGTCGCGGACCTTCTCGGCCCAGCGAGGGAAGACGTCATTGTGGAAAGCTCGCGAGCTCAGAGTCAGGCGGCCGGCCTGCTCGATCAGGACCTTGACCAGCTCGGGGTGGCAGTGGCCCTGGTTGACGGCGCTGTAAGCAGAGAGGAAATCCAGATACTTGCGGCCCTCGGGGTCCCAGACATTGACGCCCTGGGCCTTGGCGAAGACGACTGGGAGAGGGTGGTAGTTGTGAGCGGCGAACTCATTCTCGGCCTGGATAGCAGCCTTGGAGGATGAGGCGTGGTAACGGGGGTCCACCGTGGACTCAGATCGCGGGGCATCGGCGTGGGGGGCCATTTTTCTGAGATAGATCTGACAGATGGTCTATCCACCAGGGAGGAGATTAGCGTATGGAGGGGATTGGAGGGAGGCGGTCGGCACAGGTATGGACACAGGTGAGCCCAATTGACCAGGTGGGAAGAATGCTTACCAGAGTCTTGGGGGTCAAAGAAGGTTATACTTTAGGTTATCTAATCGCCAGAGTTCCAGACAAGCCAGCAAGGGAGGAAGGCTGAGGAGGACAAAGGAGTTGGGAATGCATCTGGAAAACCCAGAAACTCTGACGGGCATCTTGGATCTATTATACTCGACGGCGACAAGCCATCTCGCCTCTTGATCCGGCTCTCTGTGTGGATAACTGGCCGGCGCTATACCCCTAAGCGCAAGTACTTTGCAAGAGCGAGTCACGGGTGGAGGAGCAACTCGGTGGTGGTGCGATAAAAGATAGGCTTTCCGGGGCCTGGCTGCAAGGCCGAGGGCTGCAGGCCAATGAAGCGCCCGGGATTACGTAGTGACAAGGCCTTGTGCCTGCGTGCGGTGCCTCTTGGTCCACGGTGGGCACAAACACCGGATTCTGCGCTCCAGAAACGTTGGTCGCCGCCCTGATTGCTGCCGGAGGACGCCCGGGCCCGGGGCCAGCTGCATCCATCCCTCAGGCACGGCTAACCCGCAGCGAGCCCGCGCTGCTGGTCGCTCCCAGGCTCGTCGATACGGCCGGCCCTGCACAGAGACGCATCATTTCTCTGGCGATTCCAATCCACGGACGGCACGGTCTCTCCGAATCATGACTGGGTGGCGGGAAGAGCGGTGTCGTCCTCGCCGTGCGGTTTCACGGCGCTGATGGATGGATGGCTGTGAGAGAACTAGCGGAGGAAGGTTTGGGCCTGGGGAAGCCGGTACATGGAGGGGAAGTACCAGAATAGGAAAGTACATTGCAATTCTATGTGCGGCGAACACAACGGCAGGGGACTGGACCTGCCAAGCTACATCTCGGCCGTACCTCTGCTGGCTCCTTATCACCACGTGAACCCGCCCCGTGACTGTCGGTCTTGGTGCTGTGGCCCACCAAAAGGCCCTGTTTACATAATGAGCCTCCAGCAATGATCTCATCTTATCTCATACCAGCAACCAAATGCGATACAACGCCGTCTTATGTAATCCTACAGAACCATTCAGCCTCTACTAGTACGTCTTGTAGCTGTGCCTCATTATCGCCCCTTTGTAAGTGACGACACGCTGCAACAGCTCGCTTTACCGGGTTTCCTCACCCCCTGATGGGTTGATTCAGCTTCAAATTGCAAGCCGAGATAGCCAGCTGCCTCTTCTATGCAGCCAATAGTTTTCGGTTCTGTCCTTAGTTTTACCCGTCCCAAGCTTGCTCCTGTTTCAGCCAGTTTGGTCGCTCAACTATCCAAATTACGATATGGCACCCAGCCCTTCTGACCACCGCTTCGGTTTTCTCCGTGCTATCCTTATCATCCGCCTCATCAATGCCTTTTGGGTCACCACTTTCTTTCAGCCTGATGAGTATTTCCAGGCCCTAGAGCCTGCTTGGAACATAGCATTTGGATCCAATAGCGGCGCCTGGCTAACTTGGGTATGTTATTCACTTACACTTGTCATCTCTGTATTAAATGTAGAGTCACACACAGCTTCTCCTACTCATTGCTGACTTATCAACCCCAAGGAATGGCATCACCAACTCCGCTCATCTATTCACCCGGCCATCTTCTCGGCTGGGTATCTATTCTCACACTACGTGTCCAAAGTTCTCCCCATTGGTGACGCCCTCAGGGCGAGTATCGTCGTGTCGTCGCCAAGAGCTGTGCAGGCTGTTTTCGCTGCCTTGGGAGACTGGTATACTTGGCAGCTGGCAGTCAAGCTCTACCCCCAGGACAACAATGTCTCTTCCTTTGCTGTAGGTCCCAATCGCCTCCATTTGAGTATCATGCGTCGCACAAGAGTGCCAGATAGCTAATGTTACCCATAGCTCTTCCTCCAGCTCTTCAACGTCTGGCAGTGGTACTGCTCAGTCCGAACATTCTCCAACTCTCTAGAGACCACCCTGACCATCATGGCCTTGTATTATTTCCCTTGGCATGAACTCCTCGGCGAAGCAAAGTCTCACAAAGAGAACCCAAAACCAGCGACAAGTATCCGTCGTGATCCTTGGCCACTACGAGCATCGCTTCTCCTAGCTGCTGTGGCCTGCATTCTCCGTCCTACCAACGGTCTTATCTGGGCACCCATCGTTGTCCTGGCTCTTACCAGAATTGGACTGCGAGGCTCGTCTCCATTAACAGTCGAAACCGTATTCGTTCTTTTCCGGGAAATCATCTTGTGCGGATCCGCCGTTATTGGTGTTTCTTTGGTTGCCGATCGCCTCTACTACGGGTTCTGGACATTCCCACCCTACAACTTCCTCTACTTCAATCTGTCCAAAGCCCTCGCCGTCTTCTACGGACGAAACCCCTGGCACTACTACCTCCTCCAAGGCCTACCCCTCCTCTCCATCACCAGCCTGCCTTTCACCTTATATGCTCTCTATAAGCCATCCGCCACTACCAACGACCAAGCTAACATTCTCCGGACACTATCCTCGTCCGTCTATGTGAGCGTCATTGCCCTCTCTGTCATTTCGCATAAGGAGGTCCGTTTCATCTACCCGCTTCTCCCCATTCTGAACGTCCTTGCCGCTCCTTATGTCGCCTCCTTCTTCACCACCTCAGCCACACCAAACTCAGCACCAGAAACCCGACGAAAACCCCTTCTCTACGGCGCTCTCACCATCAATATCATTCTCGCCGGGTACCTCTCACTCCTCCACCAAGCCGGCACCGTCAGCGTCCTCTCTGCCCTCCGCACCGAATACAGCGCCTTCCACCCGTCCGGTGCCAAATCCCCAACCCCCAACGAGCCCCTGTTCGCCCTCTTCCTCATGCCCTGCCACTCCACCCCCTGGCGCTCCCACCTCTTCCACCCATCCCTCAACGCCTACGCCCTGTCCTGCGAACCCCCCTTGCACACGGAGCCCAACAGCCCCGAGCGCGAGAACTACCGCGACGAGGCGGACCGGTTCTACGACGACCCCCTCCGCTTCCTCTCCCGCGAGCTCTTCTCCCCAAACCGCCCCTCGGGCGGCGCCCTCCCCGCACCACGCTACATCGTCGGCTTCGAGGGCATCGAGCCCTGGCTCCAGGACTTCGCCGAGGCCACCCCGGAAGGCCGCGCCCTCGGTCTCCGGCCCCGCCGCGTCTGGTCCGCCTTCAACGGCTTCTTCAACGAGGATTCCCGCAGGGCCGGCAGGGTCGTCGTCTGGGATACGGGCGTGTACGGCAGGACCCCGCAGGCGGAAACACACGACGCCGCTGGCGTTCCATCTTAAGTCATGATTGAATTTCACATCACTACATTCTCATCCATCAAAAAAGGGGGCAAATAGCATTTACGAAGGTCCATCTTAAAAGGTTCATCTTAGAAATATGTACTAATTATATCTCGAGCCTATTTTAATCAAAAAAGGATCAGTCAGGTTATACAAAAAAAACCCACGTAACTGGAATATCATCAGCCACGTATGATAGCCTCGCACCTCCTCCCAAGATATGACTGCAATCGCGAATACGATTTGGGGCGCATCCAGGGGGTGGAAGGCAGACTCGCCAGCGGGCAAAGACAAAAAAGCACGTCCGAACCTTGTCTTCCGTGAATTGCGTTTCGTAAAGATAGCAGCAATAACCTACTGACTCCAAAAATCGGCAGTGTACGTAAAGATAAAGCGTAATAACGCGAGACTTCCTCGACGGTGCGTGAGGCAAGTCCTGGCTGGATACAAGAACGAATAGAGAAAATATATCATGTAGCAACAAGTAGGGGGAATATTCGAAAGGGTTTGTGTGCAGCACAAGAGATTATAAAGAAACCAAAAAGGGGGGGAAAGAAACAACTAAGGAAGAATAAAAGCGTCCAGTGACAGAACGGGAATAAAAAGAAGGATGAGGCTATTCTGTCCAACATGATAATAAATCTTTGACCAAAACCGCTGCTTACTGAGTCTCATTAAACCAAAACCCCAGGACACAAAAACCAAAAAAGAAAAAAGAAATCAAGAGTCAAAACGAGAAAATAGAGGACACGGCTTTGAGAGAAAGCCAAGCCTATATGCACAAGAAACGCCCAAGTCCCAATTCTTTTAGTACCTTCCCTTCATCGGCCGTTGAGAAGAATCAAACAAACAATCATATGCAACGCATTCTACTTCGTCTCATGACTGGCTTTTGCTGGCTCCTCGTTCGCCTTGGAAGAGGGTGGCTGGATTTGTTGCTCTACCACGGGTGTTTCTTTTGGTATTTGCCCCACAACTGGTTGGGGTTGCTCTGTCGAGGCTGCATTTACCTCAGCGGGTGCCTTGTCGTGGACGACAGGTTGGGCTAGGGTTCCATTTCCAGCTGTCTTCTCTACGGTGTGAGGTTCAACTAATGGTTTGTCCGCTGAAGCATGTTGGGTGTTGGCAACATCTTCTGTGGGCTTATCAGCCACCGGTTGCTCGACAGCAGGTTTCTCAGCAGCTGGCTTGTAGTTCAAGGCCTCATCAACCAGACTTCTGACGACTGGAGGCTGGCCGAACGAGGATTGTCCAACAATGGGGGTTGGTGGCGTATGCTGCACAGACGGAGTTACAGGTTGAGGAGGTGGAGTAGCAAGCTTCGGCTCTGGAGCGGGCGCTGTGTTTGGTTGGGCTGTCGCACTTTGTGTTTGGTTGGATTGCTGCTCAACAGGGACATGAGTTGGCTGTGCTGGGATCGGTTGTTGGGCAGCTGCTTGTGCCGGCGCTGCCTTCTCTTCGGCCGACTTTTCTGGGAGTCTCTCCACGGACCTCTCACGAGGGAATGGTTCTCGCCTCATATCCATGCTTCTCTTTCCGGGGGAGAGGATGCTCTGGGTTGGCTCCGCAGGCGGTGACTTGTTCCTCCTGTGTTCATGATTTTCTTTAGCTTCGCGCATCTTGCTCTTGATCCAACCGATAGGACCCCTGGTTTCATCCTTTTCTTTGTTGCTCCTTTGGCTAAAGCTTTGAGAATTGGTCGAATCCGAGCCTACAAGGGTAGGCGGCTCATAGCTATCGCCTGTGAAGCTCTTGCGAGGCTTTGCGCTGGCACTTCCAAACGAGGTTGTGCTCATTTCGGCATACTCACTTGATCTAATAGCGGAGGGCGACACCAAGCCCGGTGCAGGGTCAGGGTTCTTCGTCCGTGAAAGACGCCATCTCCGCTTCTTTTCCTTTTCAGGGTCATATGAACCGGTCATATTACCATCCCCACCTTGCTCGAAATCCGATCCATCGTTAAATGACGAGTGCAATGAGGTAGGTGGCGATTTCTTTCCTCGAAGGGTTTGGTCAGGATGAAGGTGACTGCCATGCTCGCTTGGCGGATGGCCGCCTGAGACCACTCGGGGAGATACTGGGTGGTACTGCTCCATAGGATTCCTAATCTCAGAGCTAGGGGATAAGCCAGAGAGCGGTAATGATGCGTTTGAACTGTGTGCGCTGGGGTTCAGGGCACCGGGCGGCCTCATCATTCGAAATTTGTTGGACTGCTTCTTCGCTTCTTCCGAGGGCGACTGGTTATACAAATTCTGAGGGTGACGCTCTTTCTGGGGGGTGGTTTCATGATGAGCGACTGGTGAGTGTTCTTGGCTGATACCGGCAGCCGCGGGAACCGGTCCTACCAGCTCGTTTGCCTGTACTGGGGCGGCTGCGCTCCCAGCTTCGTGTCCAGGTTGGCTCTGTGGCTTCTCGGATCGCTGCTCAGTGGGGTGGGCTTGAGTGAGTGGCAGAGGTGGTTGAGGGCTTGGGCTTTTACCAGCCCCACGCCTATACTTTCCTGCAATTGCTGGTGACCTTTTTGACGGGACGGTATTGCTCCTACCCAGCCCGCTTGACGGCGTAGCTGTAAGTGCCGGGCTGCTGGGTGCGCTGTTGTCGTCCTTGTTGGAGTGATGCGAGTGGACCGAACGGTTCCTCCGAAGCTGCCCATCCCGGGCGACACTCTGTGCACCTGCACTTGCATTCGAGGACGACCGGACAATTTCGGATTCCTGGACTGCAGTGGGGGTAATTGGCTTGGGTGTTGCAGCTGGTGTGCCAGACTCGACCGCCTTCTTGGTGGCCTCATCGGCTGCGGTGCCCTGCATACCAATCAAGAAGTGATCCTGGTTCTCAATCAGAAATATGATGACGCATTGGTTCAGACGGTATTCCTCCGGGGCCATGGCATGGGTTGGGTGCGATAGCATCCCCGGCTGGAAAATAGCTGCCAGGTTCTGCGAATTCATTCGGTTTTCATCTGATTTAGCCGCGAAGACAGCCAGAAGATCGAGGATGTAGAGTAGGAGCTGCCTGTTGAGCGGGGGGAGCTCTGTGATGAGTTTCTGGTACTTGCCAATCGCTCCCCGTTCGTCAAAGTTCTCGATGAATTGAGGGCCTTCGGCATCACCCGCGGCCTGTTTCGTCGCTCCACGCAGAGGGTCGCGGAACTTCTCATAAAGATCCAGCGGCACGACTGGCTCTGGAAGATCGTTTAGGTACCGTCGTAGAACGTTCGCAGCATCGTGAACGGTATATCCTTCCCACACAAGGCCCTTGCCGTACCGGTCGGGCGAGTCGAAGAGCGTCTTGAGCTCCTTGATACGCTTTTCGGAACCGCTGAGTCGAAAGATTCCCTCGATGCCAGTTGCTAGCAGGAGATTAGTACAAAGGCTCTAACACACAGCTAAGGGGTAAGCTTTGAACCTACCCTTCTCCTTTAAGAAGACACCACACTTGGCAACAACAATCGGCACATAGCCGTAAATGTAGCTCTGGCCATTCTCATCAATCAGGGAGATGGCGACGTTTGCGTAGGTAATACTCTGCCGAAGAGGGACACCAAAGATTCCCCGCGCACGGGGTTCTAATCCTAGTCAGCACACGCGGTCCGGGAAATTGGCACAGTATTCATGCAGCGCGCATGGTCCGATGGGGGTAGATGCGAAGGCGTCACGACGTGGTCGCAGAGATGAGAGCCAGAGAGCAGAATCGCCAGGTGAGGCTGTGGCACAGAACGGTAGAGCTCTCGAGCTGCCATGAGTTCTCCACCGCGTGCTGATTCTCGCCGATCCTGACCCTTATCAAGATCACCATGCACCAGCAGGGGGGTTACGCGAACGAGAGCTTGGAAAGAGTGTATATTGACCGTACCTGGCTGTTCTGGCTGCTTGGGAGCAAGCTTGAAGCTCTTCCACCACGATTTGAGATCGCGCTTCGTTGGGGGCGACGTTTGATTGGCAGCGCCATGCGTGTTTTGGGGCAGAGGAGCTGGGGGACCCGCCGCTGATGAACCAGCGGCCGTCGTCATTGTGAAGAGAGACTATGTTTGTGTCGTCGGTGGCAATGGTCGAGCGGCGCTGCAGAATAGAGTGGCCGGGCGAGGCCACCCAAAGATGCGAGAAGAGAGGGACGGAAGACGGGCGTGGATGGTCGGGAGAGAAAGACGGCCAGGTGACTTGACGAAGCCTCAACCCCAGGTCAACCCAGACTCGAGAGGGGCCGGGGACGTGCGCGCGGCGCCGACCGAAAACAAAGACGGCTCGGTGCGCGGACAGTCTTGTGCTGTGCGTGGCAAGGCGTCGGGGACAGGCGGCGATGCGGAGGGAAGCTCTGGTATGATATACGGCGGCGATGCGAGCGAAGGCCTCACAGGGAGGGGTGCACAAGCGTGGTTGCGGGATGGGATGAAGCAAGGCGGGTGCCAACGTTGCTTGCACCAGCAGCAGGTGTAGCAGGTCTGGGCTGAGGAGCTGGGCTGGTTGGTGGAGGGCGCTGCTCTCAACTGGGCTGGCGCTGGTCTGTGTGCGCTGGGCGCCCGTAGGCTACCTGAGCCTGCTGATGAGACGACGACGCGATCGGTGATTGGCGACGGCAGCACTCCCTTTCCGCAGGCTTGGCGAAGCTAATAATAAGGGCAAGGCCGCCTAGGTAAGATTAATATTGTACGTACTACTAATGTAAGGTCTAAGGTAAGGTATGGTAAGGCCCGTAGAGGGACGTCGGAGCTCGCTGGTCGGTGCAATAGCCAGAGGCAGCGAGTGATGCCGGCGTTTGTTTGCTTCTGTTGTCCTGCCGTCCCTTTGATAAGACGCAATGCAATATCAATATGTGACAAGAAATAACGAGAGGGTGGCCAGAGAAAGGAGGGAAGGTGCTAGACTCGAAAGGCAGAAACGGCTGAATGAAAGCAGCTGGCTGGTGTTCGCAAGGAGGTACTTAGGTAGCGGGTAGTAGGTAGGTAGGCACCTCAGGTAATCTTTGGAGACGATGGGGATAAGCGCTCCTCCAAGTGGTTTTAGTAGGGGTGAGACCAATAATAAGTACTACTTGGTCGGCAATACAAGAACCAGAGGCAGCAGACCAGCCGTTGACACCACAGCTTGATGGCGTTGATGGACTGGACGGGACTGGGTCTGAGGCAACACAAAGCCTGGCAATGGGCAGGATGATCCCTTCCAACCTTTTTCCTGTAGCCCTGCTGTGGCGTAGGTGAGTCAAGAGGGCGAGCCGAAGAAGCTTCAAGCACGGCTGGATCTGGGAAGTAGGTACCGTGCGTACATGCCTCTGGTACCTCCACCAATACCTACCTAGGTACCGCAGGCAGGCTACAAGGATGAAAATTTAGCAGCACAACGCAGCATGCTGCACTAGGGTAGCAGTGGGGTGTGGTCCTGCTGCAGTGAGAAGGGGCAGCAAGGCCTAGAGGGGCCACTGGTGCCGGGAGCTGGAGCGCTGGAGCTGAGAGATAGTAGGGGTCGTAGGGGTCGTAGGGCGCCTCGGCTTCCGCAAGCGCTCGCCTGGTGGTACCTGGACGGCGGGCTGGAACTTGCGGGGAAGTCTTAGCTTTCCAGGCTCTCGCGCCAAGTCGCTTTTAGAGTGCCTTTCCATGCGCTATGCAGGTACGTAGCACCCAAGCACAAGGCTTATTAGCGGGCGGCATCTAGGTCTGTATGGGGCACTAACAAGAAGAGGGTCCCAGGTAGCTGCTTTAGTATAGTCGTATCTCGAGACAGGCAGCGACGTGCGCTGGTAGCAATTTGGTACTTGGCGTAAGATCCAAGCCTCTTGAGATAAGACCAGAACTGTAAATCATCCACGTCCGAACCTGTGTAAGTGCGAGTTCCTTTCTGGGAAGTCAGCAGCAGGTGTAATAAGCCGGGTACCTCGATGAATCCAGATATCGGGCGAAGCACTCCACAGTCAGCACCTGACATAATACTGGGGCTTCTTTAGCCAGAAGCAGTAGGTACTGAACGAGCTCGACAGCAGAAGTTTTGGTGTTCGGTACTCAGGCCCTAAGCCTTAGCGGTTGAGCACCGCGCTTACAGGTTAATAGGTACCTACCTACCTGAAACCTCTATTCAAGGGGTTGTATCTGTTCCAAGGGGGGTGAAAAGAAAGGAGAGCAAGTTGATCACATTGCTTTCTTTGTTACGCGAATACTAAACACCCAATGATTCCTCAGAGTTACAATATACGACCTCCGTCAAGCACCGTCGCCCCTCAGCCATTCTCATCGCCATCAATAAGCTTCAACAATTGGCCTGGGACTGCAGGGGAGAACCATCACTTGGGCAATTGACGCGTACGACAATATATCGCCAGGCAACTACGAAATACAGACTTTTCCAAAGTTCACAGAATGGGCCGGGGTTCTGGAAGTCGAAGGGGTAAGGCAATATATGAATATCGCTTCTACTGCCTAGCATTGCTGTCACGGATAGCGGTGTTGAACACCTTCCTGGCGCAGGCCGTTCCGTCCTCAGGCACCTGGCCATCGCAACCTAGGTAGATAGAGGAAGGTCCGCGGGCAGACACGTTTGGTCTTTCTGCCGTGCCGCCCTGCCTTCTCCGAGTGGGAAAAGGTGGTGATCGGAGCAAATTTCAGCGTGGCCTAACAGTAAATCTCCTAGTGGCCCCTCTTCCCCTCGCTCTTATCGCCGTTGGCATGCATGGGGAGCATTGCGAGCGCTTGGCAAGGAATCAGAATGTGTCAATGTAACCCTGAAGCCTTACTGACCGTGCCTTGTCCATGTAGACGATTTATTCCACCCAGGGGCAGGAGGAGGTACCTGTACAGTGCTACGATTCCAACGCAAGGGGCCCTGTCCCACTGTCGAGGGCGTCATAATTCATGAGATTTTAATCTCCCTGGCTGGATTTCCTCTCCATCCTTCGCGGAGGCCGCATAGTGACATCCGCCGTCAAACAAGGCAGACCCTGTGAGAATTCTGCATCAATCACCCACAATGTCATAACGGATGACATCTGCTGGCTCGCGGCGGTTCAGACAATACGCAATTCCATGCTGTGCGTAAAATTCGCTGACGCAAAGGAAGCGCATACAGACCCCGCCATCTTACTGGATGCAGTCCGCGCACACAAACTTGGCACTTTCAGTTTCAGAAGAAACAAGTGGCGTTGTTATTCCTCCAGTCATTTTCAAGTAAAATTCCCGAAGAGAGCAAGGAAATAATAGATACCTCGAACTTGTTGGACTCTCTCGCCCCAATTGTCACCCCACGCGGCCAGACCCCTCCCACATGTCATGTTTTCGATCCTACCTGTATACGAGTAAGTCCATATATAGGTCTTGTTTGGTGACAGCATCACGGCCAATCAAGAGATAATCAATACAGGAGAGATGCCTGCCCCCAAACAGCCGTCAATGAGGTCAAAAACGGCCATTGGGGTATGATCAGCGCCCGTCCGCATGCCAATCCCGTCCCCCCTCCCCCCCGCCAAAGTAGCGATGGCTTCCCGGCCACTTCTGCAAATTGATGTCACCATGTTGCGTGCAAGGCACCGACGCATCATCTACTTTACCACATGAAGGTTGTGTGGCGCTTCGCCACAGCTCTGATTCGTAACCTGCAAACCTGCAAGAGACAGCCATGCAACCCTACCTATGAACACCCCATCGTATCGAGATAATTTACGGAAGGCTTAGCTGTACGCGCAAAGCCTAACACGGGCTACCCCGGTTTCCCGGCAACACGTATTTGAGCGTAAGAAGCCGAGAAGAATACGATATGACGGGATTGGATTCCATCATAGGGAAGTTTGCTCCCTCACTGACTTCGCAATATCCCAAGTGACGTTCTTTCTATTAGGTAGTTGACTTAATGAGTCTATAGGGTAGGTAGTAAATAGTGTGATAGTATAGGTCTGGCATCAATGATAATGCGGGTCCGTCTCCAGCTCCCGGTTAGGTCGATCTGTGGTCGTTATCTTATCAGCAACCCCAATGCCCAATTCCAATTTTTTGACTACCAACCATGAAGACTCGACCCCATCCCTCATAACCGAACACCAACCGCCAACTATCCAAGCCATATACCCTCAGTCGCCCATCATGGATATGTACGCTAGTTCCTAACCTGGAGAGGCCCTCGCCGTGTTGCTAATCCCCCCTCACTAGGTTAACGCAAGCCGAGCAGCGCACCCTGGAGCAGCGCATGCAAAAGCGCCAGGTCAAGGAGTTCATGGGTGTAAGTCAAAACCGCATCAACACCTCTCTCCCCAACCGGAAACCCTACACCGGAAAATACAACAATAGAACAGACCCGCCGCGAGCGGGGGGCCGAGAACAACAAAGTGACTGACTGACTCCTCGATGGGGAATAACAGGCCTTCGGCAACCTCGTCGAGCACTGCTTCGACTCCTGCGTGGACGACTTCTCATCCAAGGCCCTCTCCTCGCGCGAGACCGGCTGCATCAACCGCTGCGTCAGCAAGTGGCTCGTCGCCCAGCGACGCGTGAGCGACCGCTTCCAGGAGCACAACCAGCAGCTCGCCCAGCAAATGAACAAATAAAAAGCGCCTTCAACTCGCCCTCCGACCCTGATGAATCGGGGGATCGTATGTAGGAATGGGAACATATGCGCGTCTCACCTTGAAATAATACTACTGGAAACGGCTGTATGAAATGAAAACAAAACTATTCATGTACGAGGTATAGATGGAGTGGTGTACGATAATGCGGGCATCTTTATGCCACTGTTTGTTTAACGAGAAAGGAGGCCAAGGCCATGGTTGAGACACGGATACTAAGTCGAGGAGACGGCGCTTGGCATATATATGTATCGTTACGGAGAGAGCGGAAGGGACGTGAAGGCCAGCGGCCAGTTCTCCTCCTGGACACAAAAAATGACACAGCTCTTTTAGAACCAGTAAAAAGAAAACAAATCACATTGTATAAACGCTTCCCAGAGTCTACCATAATCCCGTTCATCCCAACGAGAAAACAATGCCATCTATTAATCAAAAAGCAGGTTGAGCTTTTTCGTATGGACTTTGCCCAAACTGCATGTATCCCAGGTCAACGCATAAAAGGAAAGTACATCTGTATGTGTTGGTTATATGTCCAACGCCACCAAGGCTAAAAAGTGCCACACCCCGTTGCATTCCATGTGTAATACCAGCTATAATCCACGTTCTTCTCCTGCAGTTATCGTCCCGCGCCCGGCTGAATTTTACTCCGTCTCAGCGTCCTCGCCAAGAACATCCCTTATAGCCTGGAGCTGAGCACAAAGTCTAGCCTCCAGCACATTGTCATGTGGCTCGCCTGCACTGGGCTTCATTCCCCGCCATTCTGTCTCTCTTGTGCCTAGTGGAAGGAGGCGCTCCTTGAGTAGCCTGTCGCTTGCTAGCCAGAATTCAACGTTCTCTAGAAGTGAAGTGGCATCCCACTCCACCTCGGGAATATCTCTAGGGTTGTTTACACGAAGGGCCGAGATGACTCTTACGAGGAGTGCAAGCGAGTGAATCTCCGTTGTCGCGATGAGTGTCAAAAAGTGAGGGGTGGACCGCGATTGTGTCCTGCTCGCCCCAGGTACCTCGAATCGCTCCACGCTTGATTTCAACAAGTGTTTGAACTGGTTAAGCACGAATGCAACCTCTGGAGCTACCGTAGCTCCTAATGCGGCAAGCCAGTTAAGGAGCAAGGGCAGTAGTCCTTTGGCCCAAATGCAGTAGCATCGTTGAATAACAGGTAGATCGGCATATGGCGAAAGGTTGGACTTGAGCATGAACTTGGTCAGATTGGCTGATAGAAGACTGCTGAGAACGCCATCGCATGCCATCTGCTCTGCCAGTAAGGGTAGGGTAGACAGTTCTAGAAGGAACAGAATACTGAGCTCTCCATAGATAGGATCACCTTGATCGGCCAGTTTATCCGCCCACGAGTATAGCGAGGTAGCGGCATATACGCAATTGTGCGAAGCTATGATATTCAAAATCTGCGTTTGGGACTGGTCGATTCCAGGTAAGCTCAAACAAGCCTGCAAGATAGCTGTAATGAGACCAAGGTCTTCTGGCAGGACCGCTGCTGCGTTGTCATGAATCAGACTGACAAGAGATCGGAAACCTTGGCCAACAACTCGGTCTAGAATATTGAGCACGGTCTGGGTGACCAAGACGCTAGTCTCGCAGGCATTGGAGTCCGAATCCGATGATTTCTTGCCGCCTAGTTGATACGCTCGGAGTGTTACAAACAAAGCCTTTAAGAGGGTGCGGTAGTATGGGATATTCTCAGTCGAAAATGGATCATCCACACCATTGATTGTCGCTACAACCGTGTCCAGCAGCTGATCAATGTCTGTTGAGACAAGAGGGGTCTTGACAAGTCGCTGAATCAAGACCAAAGCAAGGCCCGATCGGGCATCGGCAAGCTTGAGAAAAATAGCCTCAGGGCCAAGGATGCCTTGGTTCGCGTTGAGACACTGCTGTGCGGTCTGGAGCATCTGCTTGGCGATGGTGTCGTTTGTAGGTAAGCAAATGCTTAGTTCTACCAACAAGAACTCCCAGGCGTGGAAGAGTGCCTAAGAAGGAAGGAGGGTTAGCAGCTTTGGACAAACCGTATATTTAGTGAGGACTCACAATCTGGGCATCGACCAATGAGAGGTTCGTGTTGGCGAGTTCCATTTCCATCTTGAAGCCGTTGTCCTTTCGACCCAACCAGCCAGGGTCAAAGCTAAGCATGTCATTGGCACGGTCGAGGTCGTAGTAATAGTTGGCCCCTAGGTCTCTTGGTTCAAGCAGCGTTCGTTTGAAGTCATCGAGGGAGCAGCCAGAATACTTGTCGGAAAAGTTCTTGGCAAAGTTGCTGTGGAGTGATTTGTTGTAACCGGAGACTTCAACACCGTCCCGGAGGTAATAGTCCAAGTCGGCCACGAGCTTCTTTGCAAGAGAATCAGCATTGCCAAGGTGGCGTGAGTGGTACAGCTGCATGGCGAAAGTTTCGCCAATATAAGCCGCAATTCGAGCCTCAATAGCTGCCTGTGTTGCATTGGTTTTTGCCGCCAAGTGTGATGGCCTGAGATCCCGCACATATTCACGAAGACCATCAAGATAAGAAGTATCTTTTTGTGAGGTGAAGACGGTCCATGGCCAAAAGTTTTGCGCAGAGGCAAGGAAGTCCAACACGACAAGCGCCTGATCAGTATCGAGTGTTTTCAACTTGGATACCTTTTTCAGAGCCGTAGCAAAAACGGAGTGAGATGCTACTTCGTTCTTGGAAGTCTTCTTCATAACCTCACGAGGAGTTTGTCCTGTGAGAAGGCAGCTCGATATCCACTGCTGCCTGTTCCTGAGGACAGAAGAGAAGAACCGCCATATTAATTTGACGTCTCGAGGGAGCAAGAAAGGCTCACCCAAGGTCGAGAGGAGCTGTAGAAATGACTTTGATGTCTGAGGTCCTAGGTATCCTAAGAGAGAAACTGGCTCGTTCTCAGACTTCCCAGCATTGATCACGAGACCCTCGAGCAATCTAATTGCTGGTCCACACAGATAATCGGACGTGGCACTCAATCTGGCTAGGAGAGTACAGCTCTTGAACAGGTAATTCTCAATCATACTTGACGGCTTCTCGAGCAAAGTGGAAACGCGAAGTAGATTCGTAGCAAAGTCTAGAACCGACGTGACTTGGCTATAGAGGGTTTGGTTGAGTTGAGGGTATAAGGTGGATGTGGATATAGTGAGGGCTGTCGTAAATGAGGAGAGAATAGGCTGGAATCTGAGTGTCCCTGTTGTGGGTTGAATAAAGCAGTCAAGGATGTGCAGGGCTGCAGATCGGAGGTTCGATGTAAGATTCTCCGAGCTCTGAGGGTCACCCATGCTGAAGCAGTAGCTAATGAGCTTGTTGAAGATTGGAAGCACGTGGTTGAGGAGTGAAATACGCTTGTCTTCCGACTCAAATCTCCATGTCGAGGTCGTTTCAAAAATATCCACACACGCTTGTGCGATTGAGCAGGACACTCTGGATAAGACCTTACTGGCAATGCCGATTAATGGGTTTGGATCCGTCTTTTGCCTCGTGGCTACCTTGTTTTTCGCCCGGCGTTGAACCGCCGAGGTCATTGCAGTATCAATGAGCTGAGATAACATTTGCACAGACGAGTCTAAAAAGTCAAAACGGCTGGCAATGAGATCCAGTGTTCCCGTTATACTTGTCAACCTTCCAGCTTTGGAATCAGAGTTTAGAAGATCGCTTCGAGCCAAGTATGACCAAACCCGACTAGGATGAATTAGGGAGACAGCGTTTAGAAACTGGACACAGGCGTTCAAGACGGAGACGGAGGCTTCCTCATCAATTGTTAGACCCTCCTGAAGGTAGTAGTCCATGACATCACACACCACTGTGACAAGATCCTTGCCGCCTGATATATGTTTACTTGCCTCAGAGATGATATCGCTGTCTTGCTGAATTAACGACAGGTTGGAACTGGAACCCGAAGCCTTCATGAAGTCCACCCGGATCAATGTCGCAAAAAGCATGATAATCTCAGCAACTTCGTCAGACTGGAGCAATCCCATCTCTGTCTGATACCCTTCAGGCATCATATTGATCTCAAGGCGACGACCGAGTAGAGATAAAGTTGAATGGACAAAGTCAATCTTGACAACTCGATCAGACTGCGACTCTGATTCATTTGTAAGGAAGCGGCCGATTGTGCCAGCTGGAACACGGTATACATCGTCCTCGAGAATCCTGCGTTTCCACGAGGGCGAAAGTGAGATGAGGGGAATATCTGCAGTAAGCTCGAATGTGTTGCCGAAGGGATCATCATCTTCAACCATCTCATAATGAACGAAAGATGGTGGCACGACCAAAGAAAGGCTGGGGGTGTTTCGAAGGACATTCATTATGAGATCGGAATGCTCATGATCATCTAGATCGGTTACGGTGCAAAGCGACCTGCAGATTCTCAGGAAGGGCATGAGCTCGTAAGGATACCGATCTAGGGATTGTTCTAGGTAGAGTTCCAACAGATGCGTATCCTTGAGCATGCTTGCGCGCACATCGTGTTCCGGTGACAGAGTCTGCTGATTTGTGATGTCCCAGTAGTCGCGGTCGGTGAGAAGCAAGGAAAGAAGCGACATGACGGGTTCACTTCGGTATCCAACGACAGGGAACGTAACCTTGAGAAGCCCAATAAACCTAGAGTTGATCCTAGATCTAATCAGAGGTGGCAATGACGTGTCTGAGGCCATGCGAGAGAGAATATCATGCACCCGACCACCGGCTGTGACACCCACTGCAAGTCGCTCCCCGAGTGGTTGCCCCAGCTCCTTGGATTCAGACTCAATGGCATTGATGACGAAGGTGTCGAATTTCGAGTGCTCGATGGAAAACGTGCTGCCGGTCGAATTGCGTCTGGTCAGCGTCGGTACAGCAACATCAATGCTCGCGGGTGACTGAGCGGATTCGTTCTTTGCCTCGAAAGCATAGCGATTGGATTGTTCAACCCGCTCATCGCGTGTATGGTTACGTCTTCTCCAGGACATCTCCATCTGGTGGAAGATGACACTCCATGTGAATATGACGGGGCTACCTGCTTCGGAATCGGCTTCAGCAGCAGCAATGATGCATCTATGGATTTGCTCTACAACCTCCGAAAAGATGTAGGAATCGTGTATGTCCTCAACTGGAGTTGCATCCTGATTCTGGTTCGCAAGGAACGTGATGGTGTTGACAGGTCTGAGAAAGGTGTATGAGATGGCTGCGGCTAGGGTTTTCAGGGGCAGTACAAGCTCTGCCATTCCGAGAGATGCCTACGAGATCGTTAGTATACGAGACACGTTCTGAATAAGTGATCAAGACAAACCAGTTGCATTCTATCAAAGAAGCAATAAGCCTCCATAAAACCGAACCAATCACTGATGACGTCCAAGGGAGCGTAGGTGTCTCCCAAGCTATCAGCTAGCTGGAATATGACTGACATGGTGTGGACGACCTCAGTCAGCATGGCGCGAAGCCATTCGAGCTCAATGATGTCGTCGAGCAGGACATCCTCCTTAGTGACTGAACTGTAACCCGATTCCACCAAGCCCATGCATTCGATTAAAGACTTGAGATACACGGGGAGTAGGGTTTCGATCTTGTCCTTCTGCTGCGAGTTGGCGCTGGTCTTGAATCGGTACAGCTGTGCCAAGTCTCGGTCGACGCGAGTGAAGACGGGTAGCCGGCCATATATGGATATGGAAGTAGTGTAGTCAACCACCATCATGAAGTGGCGTCGTTCGCTGAGATATGTGCGAAAGAGGCGGCGCTTCTTGGCTTCGGGCTTCTCGAAGTCGGCGAGGATCTCATCGGCATCCGATGCCTGGGTCGCACCGAAGGCAGACAGAAAAGAGGTAGCTTGTCCATTGTTGAAGCCAGCAGCCTCCTGCAGATTGGTCGCGTCTTGGGAGGACAAAGGTCCTGTTAGGTAGTGTGCAGGCCGAGACTGGAATTCGACAACAACGATACGTAGTGCCGCGACGAGGCTGATATTGGCGTTTTTGCTGAGCCATTCTGAGTCCTCCTTGATGGTTTTGATATCTACCCTGTCATTGGAGGCTGATGTAGTGTTGACAGGAGCGGTCTTGGTCTCGAAGACCTTCTTGGTCGCATCCGAAGGCGACGCAAAGACACTGGCGGGATCTCGTAGGATACCGTGGACGTATTCGTCGTCGAAAAAATCGATTACGGCCGGGGCTGTCTGCCTCTGGCCCGAAGGATCGGAGAGCGCAGTCGCGACATGCTTCCACGAGCTGGAGCAGCTTGGGTTAGTGGTGATGGATAGCTCTTGGGCCAGGAAGAAAGCTTTTGGGCAAGACTTACAGAAGCACCCGGTCTCCAAAGAGAGACTCGTCTAAAGGGGGGAAGTAGTTTCGGTCAGGAACTGACGCCATTGCCACAAGCGTCAGTTTCGCGGCAGTAGCTCGCGACACATGCCTTGCCTTTGGTGATAATTGCTGCGATGCCAAACAGCAAGCTGGTGATGGATGTTTTTATTATGGGCGTACCTCAACAGGCTGAGGCGCGCTATGGCACCTGGCAGCAGCCTAGAAGTACCTTGCAACAAAGAAATCGCCTACGAGGTACAAAGGGCGGGTGTTACTCGTGGAACTGGCCAATCCCAACACGAGAAAGCTCAACCTTGTTGTACCTGGGCCTGTAATTTTTTTTTGGATTCCCTGGAGAAGCCCGAACTTCTGCCGGTGCTGACCAGCCAGCAGCACCAATTATTATCGATAACCTCTGCACCGGCGTCGGAGGGGCAAACACCATTTTTTGGACGGCACAATGGGCACACGTAACCGCCCTCTTCCAATTTGTTATCATTTCTGGAGATTTGAATATAGTCGGTAGCTGTAATGAGGCTCAATTGAACTTTGAACACCAGAATATTCGAAAGAAAAAATCAGCGAGACACATGTCTTGACGGCAGCTATAATCTTTGACACATGCTCACTAAATGGCAGTATCACTCACACTCGTCCGCTAACGGGACCACCACCAAACCTAGATAGACTCATTCTTACAAATTTCGTCACGTCGCCTTCTTTGACATTCCCATTCATTTCCCATCCGCCCAAGCCAACCAAACCACATCCAATTGAGTCTCCCTCTCACTTTCTGGTTTGGGCTGGTCCAGCATGTCTTCTCTCGACCTCATCGATCACTCCCCGCAGCAGCCGGATCCCTCACCACCGGTCCCCACCGCCTCCAATCTCATCTTTATTGACAACTACGACTCATTCACTTGGAACATTTACCAGTACCTGGTTCTCGAGGGCGCCACCGTCCATGTCTTCCGCAATGACCAGATCACTCTCGACGAGCTGATCGCCAAGAACCCTACACAGCTCATCATCAGCCCCGGCCCTGGCCATCCTGCAACAGATTCCGGTATCAGCCGTGATGCTATCCAGCACTTTGCTGGCAAGATTCCCATTTTTGGTGTGTGTATGGGATTGTAAGTCATAAAATGGGTTTCATATACTCATTCACCCACATGTTCCTATCGTTCAGTTGGCCATTTCCTCACATTTTCTGTTTTTAGGCAATGCATCATCGATAGCTACGGTGGTGAGGTAGCCTCAGCAGGCGAATGGCTCCATGGGAAAACCTCCCCCTTAACGCATGACGCCAAGGGAGTCTTCAAGGGCTTGAAGCAGAACATCCCAGTCACACGATATCACTCTCTGGCTGGTACACCCGTTGCATTGCCCGAGTGTCTCGAGGTTACCTCCTGGGTGGCCAAGCCAGATGGCTCACAGGGCGTCATCCAAGGTGTCCGGCACAAGGAGTTCACCATGGAGGGAGTTCAATTCCACCCCGAGAGTATCCTAACAGCAGAAGGGCGGACGATGATCAAGAACTTCCTCAAGCTGCAAGGCGGTACCTGGGCAGAGAGCGAGAAGCTCGCGAAGGGCGAGGCAAGCTCGTCCACTGTCACTACAGGGCAAAGCAAGAGCAACAACATACTCCGCCAGATCTACGCCAACCGCAAGGCTGCCGTCGAGATCCAGAAGCAGATTCCTTCTCAGCGCATGGCTGATCTGGAGGCCGCATACAGTCTCAATGCCGCACCACCACTGGTTCCATTCATCAACCGCCTACGCCAGTCGCCCTTCGATGTCTCCCTCATGGCCGAAATCAAGCGAGGTTCGCCCTCAAAGGGAATCTTTGCACTCGAAATCAATGCCCCTGTCCAGGCCCGCAAATATGCTCTTGCTGGAGCGAGTGTCATCTCTGTGCTCACAGAGCCAGAGTGGTTCAAGGGCAGTATCGAGGATCTACGAGCTGTTCGCCAGGTTTTGGACGGTATGCCTAATCGACCAGCAATTTTGAGAAAGGAATTCATCTTCGACGAATATCAGATTCTGGAGGCCCGACTCGCGGGCGCCGACACTGTTCTCCTCATCGTGAAAATGTTGGACAACGACCTTCTTGAGCGGTTATACAAGTACTCACAGTCCCTGGGAATGGAGCCCCTTGTAGAAGTACAGAACGCCGAAGAGATGGAGAGAGCTCTCAAGTTGGGCTCCAAGGCCATCGGCGTCAACAACCGCAACCTGGAGAGTTTCGAGGTCGACATGAACACAACAAGCCGTCTGCGAAAGATGGTTCCAGAGGATACCATTATCTGTGCTCTCAGCGGCATCAACAAGCACCAGGACGTGTTGGATTGCAAAAGAGACGGTGTCAACGCCGTGCTGGTTGGAGAATCGATTATGAGGGCACCCGATGCCACTCAGTTCATCAGCCAGCTATGTGCTGGAGTAGACGCTCCCACCAATGCTGCCCCCCCTCCCCCTCTATACGTAAAGATCTGCGGTACACGAAGTCCCGAGGCAGCAAAAGAGGCTATCGAGTCTGGTGCCGACTTTGTTGGCATCTGCTTAGTCCCTGGAGCTAAACGATGCATCACCCACGAGACTGCGTTGGCCATCTCCAATGCTGTCCACTCATACAGCTGTTCATTGCCGGCTAAAGTTGATATCCCAATTTCCAGCACCGGAGCCACAGACTTCTTCGCCTCAGCTACTACACGACTGGTCAGCAGCCGCCCACGCGTAGTCGGCATCTTCCAGAACCAGCCCCTGAATGAGGTCCTCGAGAAGCAGGAACTCTATGATCTAGACATGGTCCAACTTCATGGAGATGAGCCACTCGAGTGGGCGCACTTTATTCCTGTTCCTGTCATCCGTGCTTTCAAGCCTGACCACGTCGGCATCGGCCTGCGCGGGTACCACACCATCCCTCTCCTGGATTCTGGTGCTGGCTCCGGCAAGCTCATTGACGTGTCCAAAGTGAAGGAGGTCCTCGAGAAGGACCCTGAACTGCGCATCTTCCTCGCCGGCGGTTTGAACCCAGACAATGTTGCTAGTGCTGTCAGATCTCTAGGGGATCTCGGCTCTCGTGTCATTGGTGTCGATGTCAGTAGTGGCGTCGAGGAAGCAGGAAAGCAAAGCTTGCCTAAAATCACTGGATTTATCAAGGCCGCAAAGGAGATCAGGTAATGGGAAGGTATTTTCTGTTTGCGAAGCTTGCTCGTCATCAGCATCAGGATTAGACTAGGAAATTTACAATAAAATAGGCGCCTTGCATGATCAAACACCGTTACCCTCATGAATCTGATGAAAAGTTCCGTGTCCTGCGGTTTCCCACTCGAGGAATAAGAGCGGAGTGGCCACTGCCCGGCGATGGGCTGCCCTGGCTGGTCCTTTCGCTGCCTCGAGGTTGCAGCCTGACACGACTCCCGAGCTGAGAGAGGTCACCCCTTTAACGATGGGAAGCAGCTCCAACGACACTCGCCGGCTCTGAATCCCTAATCCCTCCATGATATCTTCTAAATTTCTTTCTTTCTTATTTAATAGAAACTGTTTATTATATCTGCGTACTAATTTTGGGTTTCTTTCACTGCAGCGTTATTACAGGTAACACGCATCCCGATGCCTGATCATTTGCGTTCTCTTTAACAACCTTTCAACCACAGCAGAACAGAACGATTTCTCTCAATACTGGGAACCCCAGTAACAAGGGCCACTCCTGGCCTAGATATCCGTGATGCCCCGTCAAATCTTCAAGAAATGCGTCATCGCAGTCGCAGGGCCGCTCCCAGGCCAGCTCACGGCCGAGAACCTCACCCAATGGACCCGCCTCCGCAAGGGGATCTTCAGCAACGACTTCGACGAGTTCGTGACGCACCTCCTCTGCACGCGAGAGCAGTTCAACAAACGAGTTCCAAGGGGTAAGCGTCATAGGAACATCTCGAGCGAACGACGCATGTCCCTCGGACTTTACTTACACCTAGGTCGGATAACGCAGTTCAACAAGCTCTGAAGCGGGGGAAGCGGTTCCATATAGTTCACTATGATTGGTTCGAGTTCTCTGCCGTCCAGGAGAAGAAGCAGCCTGAGAAGGACTATTCGATGAGGGTTCTGCTTGCCAAGCAAAAGGCCCGTGAGAGGGAAGAGCGGAGGATCGAAAAGGGTATACAAAATGAGGAGAAGTTCGTCAACACGAGTAGGTATACGTCTTTGGCATGTCTTCTTACTTGTATCACATGTTCTATTATACTGTCTTGCGGCAATCCTAACCTATCATGTCAACGATATAGATCTATTTCACATATACACAGACCGGGAATTCTTCTCATATCAAATCGACATCACGAGAGATGACACTGGGCTGGGAGAGCTTGGTCAACGTTATACCATGTGTGTAAGTCAAGCTCGTCGCCCTAGGTATGGCAAGGATGTGTAACTTGATCTGACATAACATGATCTCAGCTTTGGGAATCCGACGCCAAGCCGCACCTTTACCAATTCACAGCAAAGTTCCTCAAAAGAAAAGGAGACGGGCAGCCTACATACTACCGCCCAAGTCCCTGCGCTGGGAAATGGCGTGATGAGATGAATCACTTCATGGCATTCTTTCGGAAGAAGACGGGCGTCGACTGGGAGGATAGAGTGGCCATGCAGAAGACCACCAATACCGAGTACTTTCAGTATACTCCACCGGTATGGTTTAAGAAACGGAATACATTGAAATGTGGTTGGGTATGAGGCTAACATTTGCTTATAGGCGGGAGGGAAGCCAGTTGGCCGCCGTTTGCGTCATTCTCACGATTACTGCCTCCAAATCAATGCCGAACTCAGGGGACTCCCATGGCCACCGAAGGAAGAGAAACCAGAGGGCATGATGGATATGACTCAAGGAGGAGACATATTGGCGATACCGGGTGGAAGTGATGAGTGGGAGCCCGAGATACCCGCTGAAATGAGAAACGACAGTCCTGTTGACGAGGACATGGATACAAGCGAGGATGAGACACCATCGTCCACTCAAGACGCCCTAGATGACGAAGAATGTAAAGACGAGATCACCAATGATGACCTGGACAAAGACTCAGACATAGAAACAGAGATACGTCGCCAGACTGAACTGGAGGGTGGTGAGACGGAAGAGCAACCATTGACCTCTTCGTCGGATGATTCGACCGAGGGCTCAACCTCTCAACAAGTAGGAGATGGACATACAACGCCTACTAGCCTAGCAAGCGACAATGCATCCTGTTACTCAATAGGTACAGGTGCCATGCTGCCTGACGAAATTCATGACCCAAGGTTTTATGAGGCTGTGAGAGAGGCACTCAAATTCCCCGTTCCGAGCTGAGGCCATCTCGACTAATACCCCCTCAAGGTGTCATTAAGACTGCGTTTTAGGTTCATCTTCTTAGCCATATTCATCGAAGGGTCAAGGGGGCATATAAAAATGGGCATGTGAAAATTGACATAAGATACAAGTGCTGGGGTATAGTAGGAAAATCAGGTAGCCAGAAAGACAATACGAGAAATGCTCCCATATGCCTACATCGGCAGCATCCATTTTCTTTCAATAACTAGACTGCAAATCAAACGCTGCCATAAATGCTCCTGGCGTCTAAACAAGATGTGCAACACCAATGTCAAACACCATCCCAATCCCTGAAAACGCCTGGTATCGTGAGGATTTTTCTACTACGGCCACTTCCCTCCCATCTCCCTATTTAGGAGGGGGGTAGCTACCGCTTGGTAGTAACGAGGAAAAGAAGCATAGAATCCTAGAACCTTAGCTTCGGCAGCACAAAGACCAGCACCAATAACCCAATCATCAGCCCATACACCCACGCAAACAGCATCATCCTCCCCCACCATCCCTTGCCCTCCGACATCTTCTGGAGCGCCCCCATCCTCCCCTTGGCGATGTCCATCCCACGCCCTGTCCGCTCCATGCCCTCAGTCGCCCGAGTCAGCACGTCCTTCTCCGACTCGAGACTCGCCGCGATGTTCTTCTGCTGGTTCTTCATGGCCTGCGCCATCTGGAAGACCTTGTCGGCGAGCTCCTCCCGCTCCTTGGACTGGACGTCCAGGATGGCCTCCGCCGTCGCAGTGGACCTCTCGGCCTGGGCACCCGCAGCCACCGTCCGGTTACGACGATTGGCAAACAGGGCAGCTCGGGCCGTTGCATGCGCGGGGGGGTTATCCGGCGACTCTGGGACCGCTGTCGGTTTCGCTGACGACCGCGACCGCAGCGTCTGCTGGGTCTGGGTAGGGGTATCTTGCACGAACGGCTGAGGGATCGCTGACGGTTGAGCCGGGGGTGCTGACGGAGTATCCGAAGCTATGGAAGCTGCACTATCATCAGGAGTCGGGAAGTCCTCCTCCTGCTGCGTATCTGTACTCTCCGACGGGGTCGGTATCAAGTTGGCCAGGGCATCGTCCACGTCGGAGCTGTCCTCCTCATCCTCCTCTACCAGCGCCAGCTTCTGCAAGTCCTGTAGTCGATCCACCAGCACCTCTAGGAGCTCTCTCTTCTTGTTGAGGTCCGTCTGTACCTCGACTCTCCGGCCCGGGGCCAAGACGCCGAGCGCCTCTTGTTCGAGCTTCGTGAGGGTCGCCCGCGCATATTCAAGGTTCTGGCAATAAGCGTTAGCCCCGACGCTGAGACGCAGGCGCAAGGTGGGTACAAACCGATTTCTGTCTGGATCTCTCGTACTCGCTCGTTCGTAGCTGTCGCTCGCGGTTCGGATCGGGATGCAGCAAGACCTGTTGCAGCCGTGAAAGTAGTTGGCCCAGCTCGGCAGAGGAGCGCTCGAAGCTGCTGCCAGTCCGGCGCAGCGCCGGTGATGGTGCGTTTGAAAGTCGAGCCATATGGCGATTATTTGTAACTAGAATCGACGTATTGATTGTATTTAAATCTGTAGTATGGTAGTGCGTAGGGTTAGAGTGTGGAATTCAGATGTGATCTGCCAGCCTGGTATGGTTCAGCCTGGGAATATTTAAGTGCCCCAAGCTGTCAAGTTGCCAAAAGCCTGTGACGTGTGTTCAATGTTTTGGCAGATGGGATCTGGTGGGGCCGAGTACCCCGGAGATACTTCTGAGAATGTGTGAGGGGGGTGGGAAGGTGTGTACCTGGCTAGTCACTCTGAACCGCATAAGTCAATGCTACCCAGGACCCTGGTGCCATAACAACCACGACGAGATGGAAGAATACAGAATAATAAAGTAATCAGAAAACAAAAACAAGTTAGGTGGCCATGGTGCCATGAATCAACAACTCAAGCCGCCATCAACACACGCTGTTTGAGACCTCTGGCCAAGTTCTCCGCCTGCCGCATACACGATAAATAGTAGGCACCTAAGTATACAACAAAAGCACCTTGTACGACATGAAGAAAGATGCTCGTTTAGAAGAAAATATTTGATTGACTGACTGAGTTTGTCGACGAAACAGCAGCTTGGCTGATTGCTCGTCGACGAAGCGAACCCCAACAACCGGAGATGAACCAAACGGCATCAGAAGGTATTGTTGCAAGTGATGCTCTTCATAAGTTCACGGACGGGAGTTTCTTATTATGGCCGTCTTCATGTCTGCCTTCAAAGCAAACCAATCAGAAGAGGACGGCAACTGCTTGAAAGACGGCCTGATGTTCACCGACCCATAGCATAACTGGCCCTTTAACGCTACCAAATGAGAAAAATCCAACGCCAAGGCAGTGCATAATTCGTAAACCTCCAATATTCAAGGCTGACAAGGGTATTGGCTGGGGCCCTGTCATGCGAATCATCATCGCATTTTGATTAGATGAGAGATAGCCCAGCAAGCGAGGAAGCTGCGGGGTTGGTTGCCTGTCTCATAGATTTGTACTAGCTTTCCAGCCATAGTTCAAGCGAGGTTTGTTGCTTCTGGCTCCTCTCTGCGACAAGTTAGAGGGCCCTGCCAAACGGATTATCTGTTTCCACGACCAGGGAAACCTCCAAGGCCATCAATACTCCCCCAACCGGAAATCCCTGGCGTGGATCGTTGACCGATTTGGAAACACCTTTAGTCCTTGTCCTTGCTGTCCTCCTGTGCTGCAGCCTCCTGCTCCAGAGCGGACCGTAGTCTCTCTTCCTGTTTCTTCCAGTGGCTCCCCTCTTGGTAGTCGGAGCTGATTCCCAAGGCTTTTCGCAGGCGCTCGCTCTCCTTGATCTTCGCATCGGCCATCTCGTGTACTTGGTGTTCCTTGAAAGGCCTCCGGGGGCCAGCACCCCTCCTCCCAGAATTCATCTCGGCCAATAGCTTCTTGCGCAATGCGTCGCACCGATCCTCAATCTCATCCTCGTCGACCCTGATTAGAAGCTGTTAGTTTGTTTGCCAATCTCATGGTCCAAGCAGGTGGCGCGTTTGCATTGTCCCAAGGGGGGAACTCACTCCTCTTCCTCAAGCTTGTCTCGCAGTTCGAATACTTTCACCTCTACTTCCCGCTTTCGGTCATGTTCCAGGATGGCCTTATCCGGTTGGCGCTGCTTGTGCCTCAGACTATCTAGATCCTTGGGGTACGGAGCGCCATAGTCGCGCGGCTTGATATGGGCGAGATTTCGCTGGACATAGCCTGAGGTTCCACTGCCACGAGGCGTGGAGAGACCGACGTTATCTGACATGGCTGAGTATTGGATTGCCCCGGTAGCTTCGGTGCGAATGTGGCAGGTTTCCTGTCGGAAGAACCTTAGTTGGAGAATTGCTGGATAAAGGGTTGCGCTCGCTAGTTCCCTGCCCAGCTCTTCACCACAAGAATCCAAGATGATGCACCTACGTAGTGCGAAGGGTCAGATAAGATTGGCGGCGGACAGATCTGGAAGGCGGTGGAGCCCACTTTCTCTGCGGGACTGGCAGAATGATGTACTTCTAGAACCAGCTCAAGCCTGCCCTTGATTGCCACCACCATCCAGCAGGTACAGGTACATGGGCAAAGTACTGCCGTAGATCCATCGGTGGAAGGCTCGACTGGACTGGACGTGGGGTTCGCCGTTGACGAAAAAAGCACATGCATGACAAATGACGGGATGAAAAGAGTCACACTAGACAGGTTGACTCACAGCTACAACTTCAGGCCCAGATATAGGCTCTGCTATTTTTATTAATCTTGTAAACTCTTAATTCTGCCACCTCCTTCACATTATCCAACATCGCAGAACAAAGAAAAAAACATCACGATGCCCCACCTTCCAACCGTCGACGACGGCTCGAAGCAGGAACTTGTCTTTCCTCCCGTCACCAAAGACCATATTCAAAACTGCTCTTATAATGAGTGGTTTCCAAAGTATAGGAGCTCATGTATAAAGTCGAGGATAATCCCTCTGTCGGCTGATTTCGTGTCTTATCTCAATGAAGACGGCATCGTCCTAGCCGACGACGAAGACGCCGGGCAAACAGAGGAGGAAGAGGAATGGGCTACTACCACCAATACTTCATCACGAGTGCGTGAGATTGAATCAGACGATGAAGATGAAGAGGATGAACCAGACAGGCTTCCGCCCAACCAAAGGTTTCCTGAAATACATCAACTGATCAAATCCAAGATCACCGAGCTGGGTGGCGCCGTCGTACCCAAACTGAACTGGTCCTCTCCCAAGGACGCCAAATGGATCTCGCCTCATCAAAACACACTCAAGTGTACATCACCAAATGACATTTACCTGCTGCTCAAGTCCTCATCATTTATCTCCCATGACCTCCATCATGCTTTCGATGGATGCACCTCCACTCCACCAACCCGTCCCTACGCTCCCGTCCTCGTCCTTCGCCCCTTTTTCAATCCCCATGTCGCCCTAGAGTTCCGCTGTTTTGTCAAACACCGGTCTCTCATCGCCATCACCCAGCGTGATCTCAACTACTACTCTTTTCTCAACGGCCTCAAGAGCAACTTGACCCGCAAGATCAAGGCCTTCTTCGACAACACCCTCCGCTTCACGTTCCCAGACGCCAGCTTCGCTTTTGACGTCTATGTGCCCGAGAGTGCCTTTGAGGACGACGGCTTGGGCAAGGTGCGCCTCATTGACATCAACCCATGGGCTCCACGCACCGATAGCCTGCTCTTCGATTGGCAGGAGCTGCTTGAATGGGAGGTGGCCAACCCCCTATACGGCTCCCCTAGCACGGCAGATGCGGACGGAGAGCTTCCATCTGAGAGCGGCGAAGACACCACAGCCACATCTGAGACCGATGAGGACGGGGCCGCAGATGGTGGTGTAGTGCGAATAAGATTCAAGCCCGGTGAAGAGCCCGAGTTCAGGATCATTGAGCGGGACGACCCTGCAGCCTTTAACTTCAGTTCATCGCAATATTCTGCACACAAACTTCCGAAAGAGGTGGTCGATGCCAGTCTTTCTGGTGAGGGTGGAATCCGGGAGTTTGCTCAGCAATGGAAGGAGTTGACTGAGGGGAGGGCAGACGGTATCTGGGAGCAGGCTGCAGGTCTCAACAAGTAGAGTGTTTATATACTACCTAGGCCTGGCTTAAACATGACCAAATAAAGTAAAATTTCACATGCAATACAACCCTCTCTCTTGATAAGACTAGACAAGGCCATGTGCGTAATAACACAGTGATCAGAAAGTGTGTTGCCTGCTCACATGTTTGGCATGGCTTTGCACTGCCACAGGAGTCTTCAAACCAAACTCGAAACTCCGATTTGGCAGAATGAAACTGCAATACGGATATACGGATTGACCAGTAGAAACAACCCCAATAGCGTACCTACAAGCTCTTTAGGGGGGGGATGCCAGCGGCCAAGTGCCCCAAGTACCTCGACAGTTGCTGGCAGCCCGGCCGCATGCCTGAGGAGTGAACCAGTTTCTGCAGAACATGAAGGACTGCAACTCACCGCCCGAGCAATAACAACAGCACGCGATGTTGTTTAGCGACGCGTAAATCACACGACAACATCCAGCCGTGTTCAGCTGCCTAAGTCACCTTCTTCTCACCCTCGCCTTCGCACCCAAAACCACTCCAACACATCATCACCCACCACCCCTTCACTTCACAACAACACATCCCATTCACTCTCTCCTGGCTATTCAGTCACATCCAATACCCATTCAGTGCTCCAAAAGCAAAGCAAAAGTCAAACAATAGAAAGACAAAAGAACCCCCCACTCATCACCGCATTGTCCTGCCATTTGCTCACAATGGCCACAAAGCGTGAACCCGCTCGCGATGAGCTCAACGCGTCAGCTAAAGACACGGATCAAACCAATGACTTCACTCGATCTCGAGGTGAGCAGCCGGCCAACGCCAGCCATCCCTTCTCGCCTTGTGTCCTCGCGGACGGCGAAGATATCAACTTGATGACCGGGTATCCAAGCTCGGGCGGGCCTCTCACTCCTCCCGAGGCGTCCCAGTCCAGCTCGACCATGGCCCAGGCCGGCTCTTCAAATGCCGAACCTTCTGCTGCTCCAAATACAACTTCTGCCTCGGAAGATGTTGACATGAGCAATGTTATGCCGGCCAAGCGGGGCAAACGGAGCGTAACTACCGGCACTGTTGCGAAGCGCTGGTACCGCACCAGCAAGGGCTACACAGTCCGCATCGATAGTATCATCGGCAAGAGGCTTGCCAGACTGCCCGCAAAGCGCAACCCAGAACACCGTGACCGGTCTCACAAGCCCAACCTCAAGAGGCGAGGCAACGTCGAGGCCATGCTTGTTCAGGTCGCCGGCGACGAAGCAGAGCAGGCCTGCAAGAACTGCAGAAAGGGCCACGGCCCATGGACAAGGTGTGTCGTCCTAGAGGGTAGCCTCTGCGGAAGCTGTGCCAACTGCTGGTACAACGCGTGCGGCTCACGCTGCACATTCCATGGTAAGTCAACCCCATCATCGCTCCACGAGGCTGCTCCAGCCCTGGGAGCAAGATGCTTCCGCGGCCGAGCCCATACTAATAAAGCCATCTACCATCCAGAGAGCAAAGCTCCCCCGAACCCGGCAACATCGCCGAACATCGCACCTCTGGGTCCTTACCCAGTCTCCCCTGCACGATCACCTCCTACCCCCCCTTCACAGGCCCTGTACTACCCTCCTCCGCTGCACTACGTCCCTCCTCAAGGGCCGTACTACCCTCCTCCAGCCCATTACACCCCTCAAGCCCATTACCCCCCTCAAGCCCATTACCCCCCTCAAGTCCAATACCCCCAAGCCCCTGCTCCCACACAAAGCGCATCATTCTACCCTCCTGGCCCTGCTGGGCCTCCTCCCATCGATGCCACACAAGCTGGAGAACTAAGCGTTCTCGGGCCTCATATCCTGGCCCACTTCTACCAGGCTGGCGCCTCCTTCATGGCCGCTAAAGAGGTAGCACGGGCATACCACCTGAGCCCATTCGGGCGCAGCTTGGCCAGAATATTGCGCACCTCTGAGGAGCTCGGGATGCTCATCGCAGAGCACGAAGAGCAGTACCAGAACCAGCGCTGGCACCCGGTCTATGACGCTCCTCCTCCACCCCCCGCCGCGCCCCCCGCCGCGCCCGTGGCTCCTCCCTTGGCTCCGGATTAGGAATTCCAAAACCAGGAGCAGCAATATCAAGAGGCACAATACCAGGAGCAGCAAACTCCAGCACCGGCTTACGAGCCGAACCCTGATGTATACCCATTCTTAGGGCGATACTGAGCCCCTCAACCCGCTTCTGCGCGAGGAAGAAACAGTTCTGATCACTTCAGTATAGCCTTCGCAGAACATCATCCCAGTGTGTCGAAAACCCTGCAGTCTTATGTCTCTCACCTGATAGTCAACAACCGTGTGCCAACACTGTTCGCTCGCTGCTCATCAACAGTTGTGTTATCCAAAAGAAACCAAAAAGCAAAAAAAAATAGGTACCTTTCCCTTCCTTTCCTTTTCCCTCCTTCACTCCTTCCCTCCCAACTAAGAACACACCACTAACCTCCCCAAAAGGTCCGTTCTAGGAGTTTACTTTCCTTCTTTTGTTCTTCAACTCGCGTCTCCGCTGCGAGAAAAGTCTGGCAAATGTCACTTGCACCGCTTTCGTCATTCTCTCACTTCGTGCTTTTCGTTGCCCAAGTCGGGCGCGAATTGCTGACTGCCACGACCAAACACCACACTCATTTGCACCGCCCTCACTTGCAACACACTCATTTGCACCACACTCACTTGCACCGCACTGGGCTACTCTCGCACGCCCCAAGTCTGAAAGAATTGCACACACACACACTTGCCCTTTGTTTCCCGAGTTTTTTCTTCCTGCATATTCGAACCAATTGGCTTTTACTGCCTGCTTTTGTTGCTGCTTTTGTTCCTGCACACACCCCCACTGTCCTTTCCGGAAACCATCTTGAAGATCGCCAAGTCGCGTTCTCTGTCACTACCTACTCAATCAGTATCTCTCACTCTCAACAACAGAAAAGGACAAAAAAAATTCACTTGTCGGTCAACTTACTTGCATCAAAAAATCAAACATCACAAAAAAAAAAAAAGCAACCAAACCTGGAAGTTTAATGTTTTCTCTCAAGAAACATTTTGTGGGGCCCACCCCGCTCCCATCTAAAGTCCAGATCCAGCTGGCAATAGGGACTTTTCCCACATTGTCGTCAATGCGAGCAATGCAGTGAAAGGACCCATTGAATGCAACATAATCGGAACGGCTGAAACATCGCAAGTCGGAGGCCCCCCTCCCCCTTCGGAGAACTCAGCTGATACGATGTGCGCTTTGTGCTTTCCCCTCCCCTCGCGGGACTATGGAATGAACCAGTAAAGTGAAAGAAGAAAATGGAAGGAAGAATGGCGTAGGAGCTGACGTTTGAAATCGAGATGAGCTGAAAGTGCGCGGAGTAGCCGCAAGGAATGATCGATGCTGGAGAGACGCGACGAGTGTCTGCGTGTGAATTGATTTTTTGGCATGTCTCAGATGGAATTTTTGGAAGAGTTCAATCGGTTAGCTTACCTGCTTGTTGGCGGCGTATATTCAGTCTGTGGATGCGCGTCTGCGGATAGATAGTCGTTCGCTTGTACAGCCGGGGCAACGGCCATTTGAATCAAATCAGTATCCATCCATGTGCTGTCACTTGCTTCTTTCGCCCCCAACTGCCATGCATGACCCAGTATCCAATAGACCTGCAGAACAGTGGCAATGATGAATTGCGACACTGGTCCTCAGTAGACACAAGCTGACAGGAAACCCAGAGTGTAGCCGTCACAAGAGTGTTGGTCTTCTGCTCATCCACACATGCCACGATGTTAAGAGCCAAGTTTAGAATAGCTGTCCTAGCCACGGTCTTCATTCAACTATACATAAAACTCTTCCAACTCTAAACCATCGTTGCAACTCCCCTCCGGCAGCTCCATTCATCCCGAGCCAAGCAGAAGGTGTATTTGAAAAAGCCAGGAAAATAAAGAAAAACTGAGAAATTTTTGGGAAAATAGACAGAGAAAGAAGAGTAGAAAACAGGAGGGGAAGTGAGAAAAAATAGGAAAGTAATAAAAAAACACCGAAACGCGCAAGATGGGAAGTGTTTCGTAATTAAACAAAATAGATAACCTCCGCTCATCGCCCATATGTGACAGATGCAAAGTTTTCCTCTTCTGTTTCTCTTCCCTTTCTTCTCATAGCCATCACTGTTGCTTCATTCCGCACAGCCCAAATGCTCCAAATCATCGGTGGAGTCTAACAAGACAGTTTGCTCTAGACTGGGTGCAGGCTGCCAGTTACGAGCGCCATGGGGGGGGGGCAACTTTCGTTTCTAGGCCCACTGGAATACCACGGAGTTGCCGATAGTATCGTCTTCATATATTTGATAAAAGGGAGGAGGGGATAATGAAAATCATGAGCCATACGACGTGGCCCACCTGTTCTTCGTTATTATTAAAAGATTCGAGGGGTATTCGTGTTGCTGTATAAGAAAAGTCGTTTAGATCAAACCGCACAGACGGAGGTTTTCTTGGATGATGATATCTAGATATTGTGTTAGTCTGGCTTGCGCAAGTTCAAGCTGGAAGATGTGGTAAACTTACCGTTGACGGCGGCCATGACGAATCGAATCTGTGTCGTATCTGTGGCGCAGGTGAAATGAGTGTAAATCTGCTTGGTCTCATGTTGATTCAGGCTGACGAATCGGTTGAGAATATAGTCGCAGGCAGCAGCATAGTCATCACCGCCCTCGTAGTCGGGGAAGTAGTTCTTCATGGGGCTGACAGGCAACTTCTCCTTAAATCGATCGATCTTGTTGAGGAACAAGATGATGGAGGTCTTGATGAACCATCTCGAGTTGCAGATGGAGTCGAACAGGGTCAGTGCCTCCTGCATGCGGTTTACGGTCTCATCTTCGAAAAGGAGCTGATCGTACTCGGAGATGGCGACGAGGAAGAGAATAGTGGTGACGTTCTCGAAGCAGTGAATCCACTTCTTACGTTCGGAACGCTGGCCACCCACATCGAACATGCGGTAGGTAAGATCTCCGATGATGAAAGTTGTTTCAGTGATACCAGTGGTCTTGACACGGGAGCGAAGGACGTCCTGGTCATTGGGCATATAATCGGGAGCAGCAATGCGAGCGATGTTATCGAAGTAGCTAATCACGCAGCTGGTTAGCGAAAAGAAAAATTAAAACCTAGTCGCGTCTTGGTGAAACTTACTATCTTGCTGAGTCGTTGAGCTGGTATTCTCTGGATCGCTTGAAACACTCTTGTACGCCACGGTCCTTCCACAGAGCCTCGATGGCGCTTCCGACCTCAGGGGGGAGGACGTCGCCCTCGATTTGGGCGGGTTGCATGAAGATGGTCTGGACGTGGTACTCCATGCGCTGGTCCTCAAGGGGTAGCTCGAGGGACTCCATGGCCTCGAGAATGACACGCATGGACTGGACGGTGTTGCTGAAGATGATTTCCTTGAAGGATTCGCGCTCATCGCGAGAGTAGCCACCCTCGTGGATAAGCTTCATCTGCTTCAGGATAGTCGACTTTCCGGATTCACCAGCACCTAGAGTCAGGGGTTAGACGCGACACTCATCAGGAGGAGCATCGCAATTGATGCCATCAGTCGATTTATCGCTCTTGATGGCACACAAATGCGAGCGATACGTGAATAAAGACATACCAAGCAGAAGCATCTTGATCTCGTTGCGCTGCATCATCTTATCCCTCTTGAGCTGGTTCTCAATCTCCTCGTTGCGGGCCTTGCCCTCCTTCTCCTCGGTACTCATTCCACAACCCATCTTGACGGTGTGATGGCCTTCGCCGCGTGTGAATTAAGTGTATGGTTCTATGTCGTTCGATCGTACAACCTGGAGTTGGTCAAATGTCGCAGATCGGGAGGTATCTGACCGCGGACAAGGCTACTTGTTAGTCCAGGGGAAAAGTCGCGAGAAGCAGGTAAGGAACGGCGCTGAACAAAAGGGAAATGGGACAAAGTTGGGGAGGTAGATGATGAAAAGGGAGAGATGGTGCGTTTGGGAAAAGTCTTGATCGGCTGGTCGTCTAGGCGGCAGGATGGAACAAATCCATGCGAGTTAAATGAGTTGGGGGGGATCTGAACCCCTGGGAGAGCACCAGTGTCGCTTACGAAGGTGAATCGAAGCGACAGCCTAGAAAGACGATGGACGATGAAGAAAACAATCAAAACTCACCTCGATGCTGATGGCGACAATTGCAGATGGACACTGCCAATTCAAGTGCGGCAATGAAGGATGGAACTAGAGGTGAGATAGAGAATGTGGGAAGGTTGCCGATGAAGGGAGGAGAGGAGGTAAGGTAGGTTGGCCAGGCGTGGAAATGAATGCTACGACAGGATCGGGGACGCCAGGGAGAGCGAAAAGAGAGAGGGCTGGGCACTGGCCGGGGTTGGCCTGGCCCAAGGTGGACAGTGCAGCATTATTTGCTACCCAGTTAGCGCCTTAGTTTCAACGCAGGTGATGGGTGCGGAGGCGCGGGAAATGGCACTGCGACAGGGGCCTCTGTGCTACCACAGGTCCAGTTCCACTGCACAGTGCGGGTGCCTGCCTTCTGCCGGCCCAGTACGTGCCTTCCACTCTTACCCAAGCCAGCTTGCATTTGCTGACAGGCTGCCTTAGTGCTGGCTTACAGGCCCGTCTTTAGGGACCGCACCACCTGCAGTCGCCCCCCTCCCCCCTAAGCAGCCCACCCCCCCGGACCTGTGCCTTCAAGCAGGGCAGGATCGATTCCTCGCATCATGAAGGGGCAACCAACGTTACGGAGTGTTCCCAAAAACAGAAACGTTGCGAAAATTACTCATCACAGGATGCAACGCACCCATTTCACGCTGATGTGCCCATATTCGCTTGGCCGCGCATGAACAAGCACAGCCAACAATGGACGCCTCGCAGCTCCCAAGAATCGCTGCGCGGACTGCCCTTAGGTCGAACTATTTGCTCAGACCGACCTTTGTACCGAGGCGGCAAGTCAGGTACGGCGATCGTCTGAACCAACGCCGTCGCAAATCTCCGACACACACGGTCCTACCTATTCCATCCTAAAGACAGGTACCCAAGAAGACGGTGCCTCTCCTGGCCACTGGTGGCTCTTTAGCACCCCAAGGACCCTCCGAACATTTCCCAATGGAGATCCATGGCCCCTCCCCTTTGCCCCCTGCCCCTTTACAAAGTAGGCTCTAACCCACAGCAGACCCTCTTAATAGTCAAGCCGACCTGGCCAAGGGACCAAGAAGCCAATAGCTGCCCAGGGGGAGCCACTGTCCACGAAATCTAACGAGCTGTTTGCTTCGAAAGAGTATGATCTGAATTGACGATTCGCCTTAGAGGCCAAGGCCCGGTCTGGTCAGTAGCACTGAACTGCAAGCCATCTGTGGATCCCTGATTTCTTACCGGTTTGTACCTGTTCCAGAGCTACACAAGTACTTCTCCAGCAGTCCGTTGCGCCGGTGATGCGGTAGACGTCCATATCAGATCCGCCTGCGTCTACATCTCGGTCACAATTGGGGAATATCAGCCTCTGTGTGGGCGTTCATTTGTCGTACATTAGCCTCCTAACCTAGTGGGCAGATGCGATTCCACGAAACGGACGCCCACTTACGGAGTAGACAAGAGGGGGTAAGCCAGGCTCGTAACTGTGTCCGTCATCCATGAAGATCATCTGGATCTCTGTATCGGGATTACTGATTGCAGAAGCGAGCCGGCCCAAGGGGGCACAGGGGATTGTTGGCTGTTTTACTGCGGGTGGGATCCTTAATATCGGAAGTTCTGTGTGAAGATGAATGGCGGGAGACTGGGCTACGCTTTGCCTTGCCATCTCTAATGGCGGTATTCGGTGTGCACAGTAAGACATCCCCAACGGCGTTACCTAGGCCGTTTGAGTCAAAGGTACGCCATTGTCTGCAAGCCGAGATATCGCATTGTTAATCTCTAATGACTGCGGGCTAAAATCTACGGATGGCGGATAGGATGCGCTCTCTCCTAGCAATGCGGGATGCCAAGTCCCGAATATATCCCCATGAATTCACCATCGGACTCAAACCTAAGCTCGGGCAACAAAAGGACATATGGCCAGAGATTCAACGACACCTGGAAAGACGATGATGAAGGCAGTACACAAATTGATATTTTCCACCTAACGAAGCAGCACGATATGTTGATGCATCAACAAGCCGGTTTCAAGACGATATATCACATCTTGAGACTGTGTCTAGGGTAGGTAACGCCACAGCAGACCAAGGCATCTGCCAGCTTCTTCCCAGATTCTCGTTTCTGGAGCCACCAGTCTTGTCCCCATACGAGCAAGTGAAATTGCACAAGCAGCACCAAGCACCAACGAGTCAGTCAGGCCATCAGCCCCCGCAAGCAGATCCATCCTCTGACAAGGATCCACAGCCGACGCTATCGACTGACGGCACTTTATTAATGGAGGGCATCGAAAATTAGGTGCATCCTAGTGGCTGCATTACGGGCACTGAAGTGCGCCGCCTCTGCTACTCCTGGTTTGATAACCACAGGCCAGCCTTGTCGACAACTTGAGCGGGGGCCAGTGCTGCATCTACTGTACTGCCGTCTTTGGTAGGTCTGTACGTAGGCATTATTCCACTGACAAGCACCTGACGAGCGATGCGATGGCTTCGGCAGACAAGAACGGGGTTGATCGCTGCACAGCACCGCAATTTAACCTGGCGGGCTGACTGTCACAGATGGCTCTATATTCGGTGACTGGTTGTTTGATCTGTCTACACCGCACCTAGCCCAATATCCATGAGCATAGGTATGCAATAGAAGAGGTACAGCTGGGGATACGCCACTGGAGCTGCCTTACCACGCGATCATCACCAGCACTCGTCCAATATGGCCAGGGATCAGCATGTTTCAAGAGCTTGAAATTGAAGCCCTCCCACCGAATCAACCTAGCTAGCTCTATTCCTGTCCCCAGACGCCGTTGTACGTGTCAACGCATGCATTGTGCTGCTCTCGCGTTATGCTTTCTTTTGCCTCCTTTTTCTAGATGCAGGTATGGATCAGGAGAAGCGTGGAATCGGTCATAAGTAGATCAGCTAACTCCAGTCTGACAGCTGCACCAATCACAGCTGCAGGACTGGTTGGATGACTAGTCTTCCGAATGGCCTAGCGCTGCATTTTGATTTTGATTGAGATTGATCAGCCTCAATTGACGACAGAAAATTTCAGTTGGTCGCCTTTCTGCTCTAGCCTGGCCGACTTGGTCCAGTCTCGCAGGACTCAGACCTGAGGTGCTTTGCCTGTTCGCCCCAGCGGGGTTTCGCGGCCAGGAGCAGTGGAAGAACAGTGAACAGGCAGTGGATACATATCATTCCTCCTAATTTCTACTTCTTGATGGCGGCTTTCCAGGGTTCCAAGGGCCCCCTGCTTTGTGGCGACCAAGGACCTAAACCTCCATATGTGCGGCCCGCTTGCTGATGAAGAATCCACCGCCGAAAATGCAGCCAGCGCGCTCCAAACAAGGAAGTCGTTATATCGACTGCCTACTGAAGATTCGCAAATCGCACCGTTGCATTACCTCAAATTACGGTAGCCTCGCGATGCAGAATCCCGGATAGACAGATAAATTGCGCTTAAAGATCAGTCAAGCACGATCCTCCGTCGGACAAATATTGCTCCAGCACCTTGCAGGCCCTTCCGGCACCAGACCATGTTTACCGAATCACTGCCCCGTGCCGCAGGTGTGAGGTCACCAGCCACTGCTCGTGCCGAGAGCCTTCATTAAAAGTTATGTCATTGCTTGTGCGGCCTGCTCTTGTGTCCGTTCGCGAGGGAAATTGGATCCAGGGTAAGTAGACACGAAGTAATGCAACCTCATGCCACCCACCTTCATCTGCGACTGCAAAAATAGAACGCTGCAAAATGATAAGTGGGTGGTGAGCAGCCACAGGAACTGCCCGTGGGCGGGACGGCGCGAGAGTGAGGGCATCAGCCATGTGATGTACGGTGTGATGTGATGTTTATGTTCAGCGTGGCTGTCGGCCGGAGAACCAAACCATCGTGCCATGCCGGTGACTACCTTAACTGGCCGGCAATGCCAAACCCCAAGCCCAGAGTCCAGACTCTTGCAGGAAAGGCTGGAATTTCGGGAACCTGGCGCTCGCCGCCTGCCCTGCTGAACTGACCACATCCCTGACCACCCACCAATCGGCCCAGAACGAGCAGTGTGCAGCGCGGGATGGAACGCAGTGGGGGAGATCCCTCGATTGGCATTAGCGCATTGGTCCACTGAAGTGCCTGGCGATCGTGTCCTATGCTGTAATGGTAGGTTGGGTGGGTTTTTTGTGTGTCGTTATCCAGTCGGCATCTGCTTCGTAGGAACTTCGCAAACCGACGACCCCTCCAACCACCACCGATTGCTCTTGATATCCTCTGCAAAGACCTTGCGCTCGGTCTGGTTCCTCTAAGCCTTCAAGATGTCGATTCCTATGGAAAGATTGGGCGACCGTGGTCAGTAAATCTTGAAAAAAACCCCCGACCGACATCTACACCGACCTCGGCTCCCCGCCTCATGCGCATCGCAAGTCCTGTAGCAAATAGCTAATTCCTTAGAACAGCCTTCCGTCATGATGTCGGCGACGATGCCGAGCGCGAGTATGATCGCCTCCGTGACCTCGCCCGCTCCGAGGCTGAAAAGCGCAACTCGTGCTTCGATCGGGTATGGCCAACCTCCCCACCAAAACAATGGCATTGGCACACCGACTAATGATTATCAAAACCTATAGTCGAAACGGGCCTACAACAACGGCGACGGCGCCGAGGCCAAGGAGCTCTCCAACCAGGGCAAGGCCCACGACCGAAAGATGGACGAGTACAACCTCCAGGCCTCCCAGCTGATCTTCCGCGAGAACAATGCGCCGGGGCGCGTCGAGGGCGACCAGATCGATCTCCACGGCCAATTCGTCGAGGAGGCCGAGCGCATTCTTAGGCAGCGCATTGGCGAGGACCGGGCCAGGGGCCAGCACCACCTGCACGTCATCGTGGGCAAGGGCAACCACTCCGCCGGCCACGTCCAGAAGCTGAAGCCCAAGGTCGAGGACATGTGCCGCGAGCTCGGCCTGGACTACCGCACGGAGGAGAACGAGGGCCGCATCTTCATTAATCTCCAGGGCGGGTCTGCCCACGAGACCGGGGGCTACGGACACCAGGACGGATACCAGGGCGGGCACCACCAGCAGCAACAGCATCACCAGCAACAGCAAGGCCACCACCAGCAACAACAGCACCACCAGCAACAGCAGCAGCAGAACAACGAGGACGACGATCTTGTTGGCAAGCTTCTGCCCAAGATTTTCAAGGCTCTGGAGAAGCACTGCTGTGTTATGATGTAGTGGTTTTTGTAGGATTGTGCCCAATTCTACCGTTTTTGGATGTTCTGCTATATGGGCTTGGATGACCCTTGACCTTTTACTATTTATTTGGAATTTATGAAGCAACGACAACCCTGGGAGGTGAGCTGGCTGTGGCAATGATTTGTGCATGTATATAGATCGTCTGCCAAATCATCTCCCTTATTTAAGAATGGGCCGAACATAGACAACCCATAGATGCGATCTATTTAAATGATATATCTAATTTGGAAAGCAAACTGGTTCTATGTCCCTTTGGGATATGTAAGTCAGGTGAGTGACATGCTCTTGTTCTGGTGATAGAAGGCATGATGCTCATGGGCCACCGAAACTGTTCAATGAGTATCAAATTAACCAACAGTTGGAGCAACATAATGTAGTAACAACATGTAATATACTCTTTAATTGGTTGTATACATCTGTACTGAATAATTATTGGCATTTAAGTTCGATGACTTGATTAATGTATCTATGTAGATTGTCGTGTCTTTGTCTCTCTTATTCAATATCACGACTCGCCCCTCTCAGAACGACAACTCAATCGCCTTCCCCTAGGTAGATATCTCTCTCGAAAATACATACCTAGATAGTAGTAAATTATTACGCCACATCAATGATCATATCTCTGCCACAGGGCGACCCCCAAACCAGACTGAGGCAACTTCTAGGTATAGCTAGGTAAGTGTTTTTGTGAAGATCAAGGATACAACGATCTTCTTATTATCCAGCTGCCTATCCCTGGCAACAGGTACTGCCACCTGCGGTTTGCTCTTTGGCATCTTCTTGTGTTCTTCGAGACGTTTATGTGGTTTTTGTGGTTGGCTGAGTCTAGAGCAAATCGGACGAGACGTAGGCTCGGTGGGATGTTTGAGTCTTGAGTGTGAGAGTTCTCAATCGCCTCGAAAGCAAAGCTTAACATACCTAATGCGATGTGTGACACTTGACTTGCCTATGAGCAGTGATTTGAGAAAGAGACAGACTGTTGATTCTTTCGCAAGTGCAGGTGGACTTGAGCTGTGCGGTTCAGTCAGTGAAAGGACCAGGCCGAGGATGGTTGCCTTTGAATAGATGGAAATCAGCATTTCAAGGTTTATGAAAGGAGTCACGCCAACGAAAGAGTCATTATGCCGGGCACAAGCTATTATTGGTTTTGAACCTTAGATACGACCGGGTGCAAGCCTCACGGCTGGGCAAAAAGGCTGAAGTTTAATATGTTGTGACGCTGGGTAGAGTGTCAACTTGTTGAGTTCTTGGTGTTTGGAAATTTCCTATATATTTTCTTTTTAGCAGCTGCCATATAACACCTTATTATTATCACAAGATGGAATTGATACAATTAGAGAGGGCCTCGGTATTATATTGAGAAATTATTGCGCACGGTATGCAGATCATCGAGAATTCGCATCCTGAGATGCGTTTTATGGCTGGAGCCGTGACGTCGACGCTTCCTTCAAATGCCCCGCCAAAAAAAAGAGACCCCTCCATGCACCATGTCCCTCATGACTATTTAGACAGAACAAACTTTCTTCGTCACAATGCCAGTATGTACGGTCCTCCCACGACAATCGTGATATTTGGCCTCCCCGAATGCAAGATATTAACCCCTTTTCTAGTTGATAATAGTCACCGGGTTGCCGACGTCTGGCAAGACCACCCGAGCTAAACAACTCTACGACTACCTTGCCGAACGAGTGACGGACTCAAACTACCGCCTGCATTACATCTCGGACGATACTCTGTCCGTCTCTCGAACCGTTTACGATCTATCTGCACTACCGGCTCATACAAGATCAGCAAATGCTTCCGAGAAGGATGCGCGAGCGGCCATCTACGGCGCAGTCAAGCGCGTGCTGACGAACAAGGACATCGTTGTCTTGGATAGCCCAAACTACATAAAAGGATGGAGGTACCAGCTTCACTGCGAGGCAAAGGCCGTGCGAACGCCCAGCTGCATTTTACAAATCGGCTGCTCGAAGGAACAGGCGAAGCAAGTCAACGACAAGCGCTTGGAGAGGCGGGCGAAGGGAGAGGCTCAGCTGGAAGGCGAGGAGCCCTACGAGGAAGGCAACTGGGAAAACCTGGTGTTTCGCTACGAAGAGCCGAACCCGATGACACGGTGGGATAGCCCGCTGTTCGCCGTGGTATGGGATGACGACGAGGAGCAGACCAAGAAGATTTTCGACGATCTGTGGGAGACCATCGCGGGAAGTGGGCGCAAGGTGATCCGCCCGAACCAATCCACCGTGCAGAGGGGCCGTGACGCAGATGGCGACTACCTCTACATACTTGACAAGGAGACACAGGACATTGTGAAGCAGATTCTAAGCCAGCAGGGGGAGGGCGAGGGCGGGGAAGTAAAGGTGCCACTTGGTTCCAGTGGAAAGGACGATTTAATCATTGAGCTGCCGGCCGGCAAGAAGATTGGTCTTCCCCAGCTACAACGAATGAGGCGGGCGTTCGTGGGACTCAACCGTGGCGGGATAGGATTGGATCCCCTGGGCAACATGACTGCTGACCGACTCAGAGAGGCCTTTGTCCGCTATCTAAACGCTGCTTTCGAGAATGAGGAATAGAAAACAATGTCCATGTTTCAACCACCTTCAGTAGCAGCATCGTGGGCCAGGGCAACGAGATGAAGCTTCCTGCTGTGTCGGAAAGCTTCCGGCTTGAGCTACAGGCTTCCAAGAGATTATTTGCCTCTGGCGGCTGGTGGCTTATCCTTGAAAGTGCAGGTTGTGCAAAATTGGCAAACAGCCTCATAATGTCTACAATGGTGGCACCAGCGAAGCAGGTGGAACGACGGTGTGCTCAGCCCATCAATGCTTAGAGTCAATTACTAATGCAAGGCAGCTATCGCTAGCTCCATATTCGTGGACGTAGGGAACCTCTGGATGGGCATGAAACGCTGTGATGGCAGGCTAGGAAGCTCGAGTCTTAAGTGCAAGGTAATATTCGAGCAGGCAGGCCATATTTCAACGTAAGACAATAATGGCTTGGGCCTACCCTTGCCGCATCTGATTAATTAGCGGCTTGAGTCATCCCGGGGAGGCGATAATGGGTTTCTGGTGTTGCGTGGACGAGGCTGCCTGAAAGCAACCAAGTCAACAAGTGTACAAAGCAAAGCGCCAGAAAGTGGAAACCGGGAGAAGCTTCGACCGACTCGTTAGGTGCTTTCACTCAACTAAGTACCTTTGGAGCTAGCTTGGTGTAGGCCGCCATACAATATCTGAAACAGGTACATCTTGCTCAGGCCGCGTCTTAGATTTTCCGAGCCGGGTCCTCGCATCAGTGATATCATTGGCCCACCGCCTTCGCCTGGCACCTGCGGTTGCCCGAAAGGTACCACTCTATCTCCACGAAACGCTGCTGGCCTCTGGGTGCAGCTTCGAACCTTCACCTCTACTTAATAAAACCATCTCTATCCATCCACACATCTTTCGATCCTTCGTATCGAATTCTCCCCCCTACAAGCCGCAGTTTGCTTGCTTTCTCCGTTGTCAACGCAGAGAAGTTTTGCAAGCCGGTTTTCTTCTTCCCTGTCATCACCAGCCTGAACGACCCTGTTACGACCCGCCAACGCCAACACCACAGCGAAGCTTTGTTTTTAGGCCCAATCACGCAAGATGGCTCCTCACGATGATGAGAAGAAGAAGGTCAACCTGACGTATGTACTGGCACGATTTTGACCCTGTATTGCCGCGATGGCATTCGAGATCAAGAAGCTAACTGTCCCAAAGCGACCCCTCAGGTGCCGAGATCAAGAATGTTCGTTCAACCCTCCATGTTTCATAGCGTTTTCACAGCCGACAGCTACTGACAAGTTTACCAGGAGGATGACGTCTCAACGGCGATCCTGAAGAAGAAGAAGAAGCCCAACCAGCTCATGTACGTCCCTCTGCCCCTCCACGACGATCTTGAACGTACGCTGATAGTCGACCAGGGTTACCGATGCCACAAATGATGACAACAGCATCATCGGTCTCTCAGAGGCCACCATGGACTCTCTCCAGCTTTTCCGTGGTGACACAGTTCTTGTCCGAGGCAAGAAGCGCAAGGACACGGTCCTCATTGTTCTTGCTGAGGACGATATCGATGACGGCAGTGCCCGCATCAACCGAGTAGTCCGCCACAACCTTCGTGTCAAGCACGGTGATATGATCACCATCCACGCTTGCCCTGATATCAAATACGTATGTGACTCTGCCTCCTCTCGCTCTGATCTCGTGTACCTAACCCCACTATAGGCCAAGCGTATCGCTGTTCTCCCCATCGCCGATACCGTAGAGGGTATTACCGGCTCTCTCTTCGACGTATTTCTCGCACCCTACTTCCGTGAGGCTTACAGGCCTGTCCGCCAGGGTGATCTGTTCATCGTTCGTGGCGGTATGAGACAAGTCGAGTTCAAGGTGGTCGAGGTCGATCCTCCAGAGTATGGCATTGTTGCCCAAGATACGGTCATTCACTGCGAAGGTGAACCTATCCAAAGAGATGAGGAAGAGAACAACTTGAACGAAGTTGGTTATGACGATATTGGTGGCTGCCGAAAGCAGATGGCCCAGATCCGAGAAATGGTTGAGTTGCCCCTCCGCCACCCTCAGCTGTTCAAGTCCATCGGTATCAAGCCCCCTCGAGGTGTCTTGCTGTACGGTCCTCCTGGTACCGGTAAGACTCTCATGGCCCGAGCCGTGGCCAATGAGACTGGTGCTTTCTTCTTCCTGATCAACGGACCCGAAATCATGTCCAAGATGGCTGGTGAATCCGAGTCCAACCTTCGAAAGGCTTTCGAGGAGGCTGAGAAGAACTCCCCTGCTATCATCTTCATCGATGAAATCGATTCTATCGCCCCCAAGCGTGAGAAGACAAACGGTGAAGTCGAGCGCCGTGTCGTGTCTCAGCTTCTTACCCTCATGGACGGCATGAAGGCCCGCTCCAACGTCGTTGTCATGGCCGCCACTAACCGACCTAACTCGATTGACCCTGCCCTCCGACGATTTGGTCGTTTCGACCGTGAAGTCGACATTGGTATCCCCGACCCAACTGGCCGTCTTGAGATTCTCCAGATTCACACCAAGAACATGAAGCTCGGCGACGACGTCGATCTTGAACAGATTGCTGCCGAGACCCACGGTTACGTCGGTTCCGATGTTGCTGCCCTTTGCTCAGAGGCTGCTATGCAGCAGATCCGTGAGAAGATGGATCTTATTGATCTTGACGAGGACACCATCGACGCCGAGGTCCTTGACTCCCTTGGTGTTACTATGGAGAACTTCCGCTTTGCCCTCGGTGTTTCCAACCCCTCGGCTCTGCGTGAGGTTGCCGTTGTGGAGGTTCCCAACGTTCGCTGGGAAGATGTTGGTGGTCTGGAGGAGGTCAAGCAGGACCTGCGCGAAAGCGTTCAGTACCCTGTCGACCATCCCGAGAAGTTCCTCAAGTTTGGTCTTTCACCTTCTCGAGGTGTTCTGTTCTACGGTCCTCCTGGTACTGGTAAAACTCTCCTTGCCAAGGCTGTCGCCAACGAGTGTGCTGCCAACTTCATTTCCGTCAAGGGTCCCGAACTTCTCAGCATGTGGTTCGGTGAGTCCGAAAGCAACATTCGAGACATTTTCGACAAGGCCCGCGCCGCCGCCCCTTGCGTTGTCTTCCTTGATGAGTTGGATTCCATTGCCAAGGCTCGTGGTGGATCTGTCGGTGATGCTGGTGGTGCTTCCGACCGTGTTGTGAACCAGCTTCTGACTGGTAAGTAACCCAATTTCACTATACGCTGATTAGGTTCGATACTAACTTAACTCTTTAGAAATGGACGGCATGACCTCAAAGAAGAATGTTTTCGTCATCGGCGCTACCAACCGACCGGAGCAGCTTGACCCTGCTCTGTGCCGACCTGGTCGTCTGGACTCTCTCATCTACGTTCCTCTGCCTGATGAGCCTGGCCGATTGAGCATTCTCAAGGCTCAGCTGCGCAAGACCCCTGTCTCCACTGATGTCGACCTTGGCTACATTGCCAGCAAGACTCACGGCTTCTCCGGTGCTGACTTGGGTTTCATTACCCAGCGTGCCGTCAAGATTGCTATCAAGGAGGCCATCAGCCTTGACATTGAGCGCACCAAGGCTCGTCAAGCTGCCGGTGACGAGATGGAGGTTGATGACGATGCTGAGGACCCTGTTCCTGAGCTCACAAAGGCCCATTTCGAGGAGGCTATGCAGATGGCCCGAAGATCAGTCACTGATGTTGAGATCCGTCGTTATGAGGCCTTTGCCCAGCAAATGAAGAACGCCGGACCCGGAGCTTTCTTCAAGTTCCCCGAAAGCGGAGCTGCTGGAGAGGCTGACGCCGGTGCTGGCAACTCTTTCGGCGATGCCGGTAACGATGATGACCTTTACAACTAAATTTCTCGGGCAGGTAGTTGGTGGACAGGACACGGCTTTAGTCCTTTGTATTTTACGCTTTATCTCCGTAAATCTGGATTGACGAATGCGCGGCTAGTGGATAGATCTTATAGTCAATTCTGGTGACCGATTTCTGGTCTGGAGTTGGTGGAATGGTCGAGGCAAGGGTAGCGAAGCTGGAGCTGTCTACAGCATATGTTACTACATCTGCTCGGCAATGTGGTAACAATGCCCCTGCGAAGGTGGATTCATAAAGCGATGCGCCTCTTAATCAGACAGAATGAAACGAGATGCCACTTGGTAGACACATGAAAATTGATTGCGATTTCTAAACCAAAGACCCAGAACAAGAGCAATTGTGAACAAAACCGTATGATTTAGCCCTGGAGTGCGATGGTTCTGAGCTGGTTCTTGAAACAAAGCGAGATCTGTTCCTCTGCATAAGATGAAGTCATGTTAATTTGAAGTCTATTGTATCGTACTTGTCGTATCATGTCATGTTAATGTGCTTGCAACTCGTAAAGAGAGCTATCATACCACCCACTTATCCCATCCCGCCTTTCATCGGGCAGTCTCTTCGTTCGTCTGTCTCTGATATGTGCCCTCCAACCTCAACCTCTCCTGTGATTATCCAGAACCGTCCTTGCAGCTGAGGACTTTTTCCAATGGTCATGATACCCCCCTACCTTGATCTCGAGATGTGAGGATGAAACTGCTACGTCCTCACCCACCACATCTCGGTGTTCGAGGTCAGCAGAAACACCCTTCGAGCCATTATACTCGTGCTCGTTACTCCTACCCACCATTCTCGTACAATACATCCAGCCACCGGTCCATCCCCCCACCCCCTCTTCACGAAGACCCGTCGTCCTCGACCTCGCACAACGCCTCGAGGCTCTCGCGCGTGGTCCTCAGCGCGTCCTCGATGACGCTCTCGGGGACGGCGAGGCTGGTCTTGTCGCTCGTGGCCGTGTTGGAGTTGCCGTTGCTGCTGCTCTTGGCGGAGTCGCCGTTGGTGGGCTTGGCGCCGCCGCCGCTGGCGAGGGAGTCGCTGCGGATGTCGTCGAGGACGCGGGCGAGGAGGGCGGGGTAGGTCGAGACCTCGCCGGAGCGGAGGAGGGAGAGGGCGTGGGCTTGGACGAGGGTGGGCCAGTTGGTTGTGTTGGAGTTGAGGGAGTGGAGGAGGGAGTCTTGGATTCTGGGGGTTGTTGTTGTGTGAGCTTTCCTGTCGTGGTTGGGGGGAGAAGGGTTACAATGGAGAGGATGAGAGTTGGCTGCTTACTTGTTTATATGGCCATCTCGGATGAGCAATGTGTTGATTTGGGAGCGCAGGTCTGGGTCGAGAGTGGCGGGGGTGTAGGATGAAGCTGAGGGGGGCACCTTGACGGGCGTCGAGGGTGGCTGCGACATTGTGGACGGGGCTGACGGATCGTGAAGGCTGATCCGGTCGGGGGGGGGGGGGGGGGCGGGGAGCTCGCGGATCAGTGACGTGATGCCGGGTTGTATGTCCGGTAGCTAAGGAGCCGTTCGCGCGCCGGGAGTCGCTTCCTGGGCCTGCCTGTTGAAGGTCAAGAGGCTGGCAAGGCTGGCAGACAATCCCTCAAGCTGTATCGACTGTCGAACGTTAGCGGGGTTCCTGGATGAGGCTCACACCGGCGGGCTAGGCGCTTGGCAGTAGACAATTCCTCGGTCCCAGCACATGGCGGGCTGGGATGCACGCAGAGCTATGCAGCAGGCAAGATGCAATGCAAACCACATGCCCCGTTGTTTGATGGGTGGAGGTGGGAGGTGGGGGTAACGTGAAGGCTAGAAGACCTACATGGTGGCTGCGGCGATGGGGGTGGACGCGGCGCGGCGACGGCAGAGCGTGTGGAGGAAAGTCGAGCAATGGCAAGGCTGAGGCTTGAAGGGTTTTGGAGCTGCGCAAGGCTGAGAGGGCAGATTTGGTGTGCTGTGGGTCCGCGTCCGGACTCTGGACCTGCTCAGCTTGTGACTTGGCGCTGCTCCGCGTCGCGGTTGGCGCTGAAGCCCACCGCCGCATGATGGGAAAGAAGCTAGTGGGGCGCAATCGGAGATGAGGCTGGTGCTTGCTGGGGCTGGAGCATGTGCGTGCGGCGCCTGAAAGCGTGTCGCGAGGCCTGTCCGGTGCCAACTTGGGCGGAGGGAGGTACCTACGGAGTACCTGTTATAGCACCCTACCCCGGCCCAGGCCAGCTTGCCCAGTAACTCCCTGGGTACATGTTGATTGATGCACTCCGGTTCAGTCGGCCAATCCGATACCCGGCAGCGCCCGAATATGTCTCAACCTTTCCACTCTCCTTTTTTCCCCGGTCTCTTTCTTCATCATCAGCTGGGCCTTCCAACTAACGTAGCTAGTTTCCAGACCGACCTGTGTTTAATGGGCCCTGTCGGGGACTAGCAGTGACTCTCCGAAGACATTTAGTCAGAGCCCGCTAGCCCAATCCAGTCAGCGACTCGCTGGGAGGGGCCCTCATCAAACTGGGGGGATGGGCCCGCTGTGGAATTGGGGCGCTTGGAATGCTTGCCCACCACGCCGCCTGTCCGTTCACTCGTCCGAAATCCATGGTCTTTCGTCGGCTCCGGGCGAGCCATGTACCAACCCTGCTCCACGCCCCGAGTCTGTGTGTCTTGGGTCTTGGGTCTTGCTTCCCAAAACCCTCCGACGCAGTGTCTGGCCCAACTGTAGGCTGCTGCCTGACGTCTGTCTGAGTCGTCTCAACTAAAGCCAACACATTACCCCGAACCCCATGCAACCCAGAACGGATTCTGCCCATGCCGGCCTGGTCCGCTACCTGCATCCGATGTCACCCGCTAAGCTTTATGCTCCCGGCCCCGACTCCCGTCCCTCGATATCTTCCCCGTTTGGGCTTGCTGTTCTCGGACATGTCCCCTTGTTGGCCTACCCTGGAGATCAACACACCTGATCCTGGGCTCGGCCGCATTCGAACATCTTCCTCATTCAAGTGCAACCCATTTCGGAGATTAGGTGTATTGTCAACGTAGCATCATATTTTCTTATTCCTCATGCTGCCTGACTGATTCGGCCTTGTTTCTCAAACAGGTTTTCCCTGTTTTGTTTTTGGTCACATCTCGTTAACGGGTCATAGAGTTTATGACTGCGTCTGGCCACCTCGTGTCTCGTGTCAGGCTACACCTTTTGAGAGCCGTGCATGTCATTGTTTCGACATTTCAGCCACTCACGTTAAATCAGGCATGATGCCCAACACTACATCTGCAGCAACTTCTGTTTTCTTCCCCTCGAGGTGATAACATGGACAGCAACCTGTATCAATGTAGGGTGGCCGAGACCGCCACCCGAAACTGGGTTGGCATCCCTATTCCTGCATCCCCACTACACCCTCATCATTGCTCGGGGTCAAGCCCGAATTACTCGAGTTACACCTGCCAGGACGAGAGCGCAAGCTTTTAATATCACGGGAGCAGGAGAAGGGGGATGATAGGCCAGCGAGCCAGGCTACGGCCCGGGCCGTACTCTCCCCGTAAGATTCCGTGATTCGAATTGGCTATTCTCCCAGCTGGGCTGGCCCTAGGTGGGCGGAGGGGTCGGGTGTGAGCAGATAGCATCGCAAAATGATACATTGCCCAACCTTCACCGACTTCCTGCATCTTCCAATGGCAGAGGATGTTGCACCTCGGCCCACATTATGCTTGCCTTCCCTCGACACCCCCAGTCCCTGTCCGTCACATGAGGTACCGCGGCCGCGGGAGCAAGGTTCTTGGTTGATAGTAACTCGATGCGCTGGACGAATGGATTATGGCTTGGGATTTGTGATGATTTGATTTCCGTGCTGACCGTTCTGCCGGGAAAGCATCCCATGCAGTAGACAATCGACCCATAACCCGAGCCAAAGTGCGGTGAGCGGAAAAGAATAATCAAATGCCACATTGGCGTGTGAATATTGCAGGTTTGGGAGTCTGCCCCAAATGCAGAGGATGCTCCGGACACAGGCAGGTACGTATCAGAAGGAACAACATGGAATTCCTCTGTTGCCCCGTGGGGCAGTTGGCTGGCACCCCCATATTGCATTGCATCACAAACACCCAAACATATATCCGGACACGCTGGGTAACTGCATGGTCACGGATCCGATCCCTGCCCCGGCCGGTCAGTGCAGGTGTGGCAACTCCGGAGTTGTAACAAGTTCTGCCGCTACCCAGAACTTGGCTCCTCTTGTGCCACGCTCCAGCTGCTGTAAGACACAACTTGTGAGATCACCAAGGAGAGGTGCATCGTAAAGAAGCCCAAGGGGGTATGGAACACGGTGGAGTGAAAATAGGTATGGTGGCTTTTGTACGTTGTACATATACATAATACAGGATACAGGGGCTTCCCGTGGATAGTAGATGTATGCTGGGTTTGTGGAAGCATATCCCGGGAACGTCGGTGAGCCGTAGCCAATAGGATCAAAGTGGGAAGGCGGTGATTCGGCTCCGAATCCCAATATACGGAGCAATTTGACTGGTCCGCGGACATGTCCGGTTGGTAAGTGGTTGCGCTTTGATCCTGTGTCGTCCTAGGCCATCCTTCCAACATGGGTATGGAAAAATGAGCTTCTAAAGGCGGATGGTGCCCCGCGAATGCGGGCGTCGAATGCCGCAAGCCGGTCAGTCGTGATGAGTGACTTTTGATTTTGGCAGCGGTGCGATTGGTTCATGTTTCTATTGGTCCACGACTTCAGCTCGCGTTAGCATAACTCTCCCAAGCGGTGTTTCTGTGACATGGCACTCCATGTAGGCAGAAGCTTGATTCTATACAGTTAGGTATGCACGCATGTGTCATCTCTTCATTGTGGAATTTTTGGCGGCGAGAAGAGAAAACGCCACTATCATATATCGGATTATCTTTGATCTCACTAGAGCCGATTCTGGATATAAAGGCCTTGAACTTGCGCTTCGCTGTCTGTTTGTGGCTGCAAAATGACGAGTAACATCTGTGTTCCCCATGGAGAAAAAGCAAA